GCAAGCTTTGGCTCTTCCTTTTGAAGATTATAGAAGGCCTCCCGACGCTGAGGACTAGCATTGATATAGATAGCCAAGCTCCGGATCTGTAACTTAGATTAGAAATTGAGAGACATATAAAAGGGTGAGGATCTTACCTTGTTTAACATGTCAGCAATCTCTCTTTTTTGCTGTCTCTCACGAAGAGACTGGATACAAGCATCAGACCACTCTGTCTCAGGCATCTCATTCTTTGGGCTTGCTCTCATTTGACCAAGGAGGTCCTTTAGGCTTAGCTGGATGACATGTGCAATACATGGAACACGTATAATAGTAGACCTATTGTTCAGCTCTAGTGACTGGATTGCATCATTGGTATGGGCTAACAAGGTATTGTTGTTCAACGCATTATCAGTGGTAATTGCAAGTACCCGGTCTGTGATCTTGTGCTGTTTGAGGAGATTCATGAGCACCTCACTAAGATTCAGACCCGAATGGGTGCCAGATAGAGGCTCAAATCCAAGAAGGACTTCTTGGTACTCCCAGTCCTGAGTAAGAAAATAGCCAGATACTGCCATAAATGCCTGTTGAAAGGGAGAGGTCCAACAATCTAATGCTAGTGAGAGTTTTGCATCTGCTGGCAGTTGTTGTAGGACCCTCTGTTGCTGTTCTTTCACAAAGCCTTGTAGTCGTGTTCGAATTGCCTTTGCAGAAGGAATTTCTGGGCGAGTTGATGCAAGACGACTGAAGTGAATGACATCATGGAATTCAGGGCGTTCGATAAATTGAAAAGGGAGACGTGATATAGCCAGTAGTTGTGTAAGCTTATATTCCCATTCATCCTGAGTGAAGACAGCAGATTTGGGAGCATGTTTTGCCTGTTCAAGTTAGTATATTGAATACAATAGCAAAGGAAAGAATTAATAATTAGATATAACATTACCGCATGATTTAGTGCCTGTTTAATATTCGGCTTTCTAGAAGCCTTACGGCAGTTAACACCCTTCATATGCTTATTCATGGAGGATGTTCCATGACGGGAATTAGCAGGATGGTCAAAAACTGCAATACACTGGTTACACATCACTGCAGGCCTCCCAGTCTTCACATCTGCCACCTGGTCAAACTGTTTCCAACAATCTGACTGATGTCTTGTATCCCAATTAATTCGCTTTTTCGTCCCATAATCTGTCCCGAGCCACCAAGCTACAAAGGCATCCCGTTCCATTTCATTGTATTTGTGAGTGTAGAGAACATATCCTTGGTTTCAATCAGGGCCCACACGGTGAAGAAAGCTAGGGATAGGAGGAGGCGAAAGCAGAGTTTCAGAGATGTCTGAGTTGGCCACTATGGCATCTTGGCTTCCTGAGGACTCAGGTGTATATAGCTGCGAGTTGTTAGGAAAATGAGAGTAAAAAGAATCTGAAGTATCCCCCTCACAAGCTGAGGAGGATGGAGGGTTGGAGAAATGCCAGGACATAGTACAGAATATAGGTGGGTGTAAGGGAGGGACTAGGAAGGGGGGAGGGACTAGAGAGTAAGAGACTTACAAAAAAAAGATCCAGTATAATAGTCAGTAGAATTTGCAATGACTAGGGGACACAAGAACCAAGTTGTAATGGCCGAATGCAGCCATACCATTGTGCTAGAAGCGGCCATATGCTGCAAGCGGCCATGAATCCATAGAATGGATAAAAGCCCCTCATTCCATAGATAGATTCCCCTTCTTACTTCCTTCCTCTCCAGATTCGATATTCTCGTAAAACACTAGTTTAAATAGGAATATCAATTCATTATTCTCCACTAGCCCAAGTTCATGACGCAAGCGACTTAGGGAGCTGGAGATCTTGAGTGGATAAATCATAATATGACCCACATAGTATCCTGTATCTCACGTAGTATTCCATATCTCATGTAGTATCTCCTAATCTCTCTTAATCCTAAGGGTGGGGAGGGTCACCCACACAGGTGACCCTAAGGACCCTCACATGCTGAAGAGCCGCAGGAGGCCAATACTTAGCGGTCAAAATCACTTAATTTGGCCATCCAAGAACTAGTATATTTGGTATTATTCAAAGGGTAAAAGTAAGGATTTAGTGGCAAGAGAGGTGAATGGGCCATAAATCACTGAAGCTGACCTGTAACTTCAAAGATATCCTTCCAAAAAATATTCCAATAGCCGCTCGTGAATACATCTGTTAAATATATATATTTTCACCAGCGCTATGCGCATGGTTTTCAACAGCTTTCATAGTTCACCCTTTTCGGCAGAATCACTCAGGAAGCTATTTGTTTACTTTGCATTATTTATACCTTCACATGGCTCTTCAAGATAAATACCTTTGAATGAAGTAATGTCCTCTTCTCTTTTTCCTAGTTTAGATGTTCATCGAGTACATTCCTTCTACAGGAACTAGCTATCATAATACTATATCCAAGGACTAATGTATATTGACTATGTAATGGTAACTTACATATTATCACTTATAATTAATATAATCTTAAAAATTTTGATCAGAAGTAATATAAATCAGAGAGATTTTGTAGGAAGCTATTATGTGAATTGATTCTAGGGCTCATACAATACCTATCATCCGAAGTAGCAGAACAGGAGTAACATGTTACGGTGTAAATAACAGGTCTGTATTAAGATTAATCATCATTTTTATGCATCCAAATCGGGTAAAGCGTGGGAATTTTTATGAAAATGAGGGTCGACGAGGGTCCTTGAGGGTCACCCACACGAGGTCTGGCGAGGGTCGAGGGTCGGGTGAGGGTCGCGAGTGTTATACCCGCCCCTCGCGAGGGTCGGGTGGAGGGTCCAACCTTTGGACCCTCATGAGGGTCTGGGCGAGGTCTACCTCCACCACCGCTCAACGCCCAGTACAGATCTGCGTTCTCATTGTCGGGTCGGGCAACGAGGAACCGTCCCTGGCCATCGATGACCTCCCATTCGAGCGTCTGGTCTGCTCCCAAACCATACCGCGACGCCAGCGCCGAATGGCCGCCGCCCTGTGTGTATCCGCCTGCGATACCAACAGACTCACACTCACCACCGATGACATCGAGCTTGTTGTCGTGCGCGAAGTTGTACGCCTCGAACCCCTGCACTCCAGCGCCCATCTTCAATGCAGGTCCGGAGTACGCAGCGCTCTTGTAGTTGCGCAGCACCTCGATGTCTTTGAGGTTATGCGTCCAGATGGCTACGGCTCCTGCGCCGGTGGAACCTCCATAATAGCTGTGGCCAGTGTTGCGAATAACCAGACGGATGTTGTGCTTCTTCACGAAATGCATCGTTTCCATGACATGTTCTGGCTTGCTCACGTTCACCGCATAGTTGACCATGGTACCCAGAGTACACGGCTTCGACGCCGCATGGAAAGGGTCACAGGTGCCATTGGTGAAAAACGATTGCATAATTGACGACGAAGTAGTATAGCTACATTTTTAGTGATTTCTCTTTCTCTTTCTCTTTTTCACAGATACTGGGGTAAGGGGGGGTGGCATACTGCAGCTCCGGGTCTGTCCATTGGTCTCGTAGTTTGTCACAAATTGCAGCATCATAGTTTGGAGCATGGCACGGGGTGGCGAGAGGGGTCGTGGCAATCAAACGTCCATCAACGGTCTGGTTGAATTGATCCCAGACGTTCGCCGACGGCCAGCATTCATCGCCAGGGAAACACCGGCAGCCCTGGTTGGACTGCGCACTGCCGACGGCAAGCGAACCCAGGGCCAGAAGGAGGCTCAAGTGTTTACCAGCCATTCTTTCACTGTCGTCGCAAACAAGCAGAGTCTTGAGACGAGCGGACTGAGAAAACAGAAGTACCACCTCAAAAAGAAGGGTTGCACCGCACCGGCCTTTTATTAACGCCCATTTGGAATTGTGCTTCTTCGAGTTACCAGTATACTCGTATTTGAGACTCGTTTTATCCGACAGGTTCCCCATGCATGCATAGCTAGTTCGCGATAATCGCAGGCCAAGCCCAATGACAACGAGCCCTACCTCGTATAATCTGTCTGTACCCCACCGCCAAGACGTTACCTTGAAAATGGGTACACATTATGCCTTGTGATGAGGTTTTAATGGCCTGACTGTCTGATTTGGTAGAACAGTCGGCGGTCCGATTAAGCGATCTTTCGCCGGCGCCATATTGGCCGCGGTGTTCGCATACAGGGTACATACACACCACCTTGGTAGGGAACCTCCACGATTGGTTGACAACTGTCCATCACCCGTATTTTTTTTTTTTTTTTAGGGCAGCGACAGCTCTGCAGCGATTCTTTGGGGCTGACGTTGGACAGTTGTCAGCCAACCACGGAGGTTCCCCCACTACACCAAGTTGCTCTTCTGGAGACTTGACCTGTACATATTCCATTGCTTGGTGTAGGGTAATCTCAGTCTCGTCCTCTGAGAAATGCTGTTGCTGTTTGGCAGGAGGACAGGGTTCATCATTGTCAGGTACAGGCTGTTAGGGGTTTGAGCTTAAGTTGTCTTAACCTAAAGCTAACCTCTATTGTACAAAAAGAATCGATGAAGAAACAAACAGAGCAGAGGTGGAAGTAGTCTTTTATGGTCGTACAGAAGTGAAGTTCCAAGTAGTGTTATCAGCAATCCCTCGCGGAAGTCAGGAGTTGACCAAGGGATCAATGATAGTCTTCGTATGTTAGGTGGTCGTACAAAGGTTGTTAATAGTTGCTTCAGACCCCTTGTTGGCTGCGTTCTGTGCTGGCCCTAACCAGACTTTCATCCATTGGGTTCGTACGAGAACCCCATAACATCGATGGTCCAATTGGCAGTAGAGTGTCACTGGCAGCCCCATGACCCTGCCGCGAACCCGCCGCAAACCCCGCCGGGGCGGGGCATTGTCTGCCAAAACCCACCCCACCCCGCCCCGAGTGACACTCTAGTTGAGTGAACATGTCCGTCCCAGGTTGTCCATGTGGTTGGGACAAAGCCTGTGTAGGAAGTGTATTGCTCTCCTGTTGCGCTGGCGCCGTAACTTGACTTGAGATTTGTGTGAAACCGGGTGGAACTGTGGCCCACTGGGAGCCAGGGGAAAATATGGTCGGCTGGGCACTGCTGCTCGGGAGAACAGGGCCCTGGTGTGATTGCATAGTTGGTGGTACTTGTGACTGCCTCGCCCATCCTGGACCAGTCGGTTGACCGGCATGTACATGTGCGGGTACGGGATGAGCGCCAGGTGTCTGTGATTGCTTTGAGGCGACGTTCAACGGAGTGGCGTAGAACTGTTGGGCATTCGGCATCTGTAATGGCTGTGCCATTAAAGGTCGTGTCCCTGGCTTCATAACAGGATGGCTACCCTGTGGATATTGCTGTACTGCTGATGAAGTTGGAAGCAGTTGAACAGGGTTGCTGCTGCCCTGATTAACAGTGTTGGAGGCACGTTGGGACACTTGCCCCGGTTGCACTGCGAACGGGAATTGCGTGGTTGGGAGGGAATTCTGTCTCCCAGTGGCTAAAGCTAGTGCTGATGCTGTATTCAACCCCGGTGGCGGTTGCTGCCTAAGTGATGTGAAGTCGGGCCCAGCAGTGCCTTGGGTTGGAGAAAACCGCTCGTTTAGACTGTGCTCCTGCGGAGGTTGCTGGTTAAACTGCTGGTGAATAGGGGCGCTATCTGCCAGCACTGGACGTTGGACAGCTTGCACTGGATTTTCTAGGTGAGGTGACTGTCCTTCAGTACCCTCTAGATATGCCGTGGTCACTGATTGCTGTTGCCCAATTGGGATACCAAAACCGGATGATTCGGGCTCCTGTTTGACCAGATTAGGCCCAGTTTTAGGCCTTTTTGAATTTGTTTTGTTCCAAGGTGAAGGTAGGCTATTCTGTAGGCTGGGATGCGGCCCTTCTCGAATAAATGTGAGCAGTGCATCACCAAGTTCCATATGTTGCACAAAATCTTTCACATCCGATTGAAGGCTGGGTGTATTCTCCAAGCAGAACTTGGAGATGGCACAAATGTTGGTGATGAAAATCCAGTATTTTTGAAGTTTGCCTTCAGTGACTTCCCTTAGCTGCAGACCTTGTTAGAGCTAGACCAATATTGGTGCAAACAGACTCACTATTTCCACTAGATTCTTCTGGTTTACCATGCCCGCAGCACAACTGTTGGGATCTATTCTTTGACGGGAACCTTCTTTGGGATCTCCCTCCATGCTTCGTCTGTCCAGGTCCTCATTTTTGGTGTCCCAACGCCGTCTCTGTCTTCTTCGTCTCTTTGTTGATGTTGGCGTTGGCACTTTCGCGTTAGGTATGTTGACCATGGCTAGAGGAAAGGATGCAATGAATTCCTATCGTCAACACGTTTTCTTGTAAAGTGCTAGATGTCAGCCTCGTATTTGAGCCAGAATGGTGAATTGATGGACGGACTCGCATATGTACAATCTTTATAGCAACTTAGATGAGTACTTCGTTTCTGACCCTTTATCCTTTCCTCGTCTTAGAAGAAAAGAGGCAAGATTGAGAGAAAAAAAAGAAAAAAAGGGATAGAAAAGAAAAGGCTGGACCTGATTCTTGGGACCGACAGTACAATCCAGCACAGGCTCGTTGGAGACGGAGTCAACAGTTGGCAGATTCTACGTTTCTAATTGGCACATATATATATATATTTCTTTTTTCCAAAAGAGAACGGAAAAGAATCAGAGGGCGCCAAAGGAATGCGGCAATTAATTGTTGCGGGGCCACTAATGTAGCGTGGCTCTATTTGATGATCACAATATAGCTGGAGGGCAAAAGAAACAGTTCCCCGAACAAAGAAAAAAATGAAAGGGAGTAAGAAAACAGGCAAGCGTGTTTGATAGGGTAGAGGCGGTTCAGCGCTGGAATCCACTTTGCCAACCCGGTAAAAGTACGTGCGAACCACTCCCCCGGATACCTCTTGGATATTACAGCTCGGGGCCCTGTAGATAGAGAAAAAGCAAGATCTCAGCTGTTGCTAAGACAGCGCAACTCATTTGCAACTGGCTCAGTGGAAGATGGTAGCGATGACACAGTGGACAGAGGCCAAGAAAGCTGGGTTTCTACGCTTCATTAAAAAGCACGAACGCAAAAGGACGCACTAGAGTGAGAGTAGCTTGCTGGGAGGAGGAATTCAGGATTCTGAGGACCCAGGGGGCTCTTCGAGGGCGCCTTGGTCGCTGTATTCTCGACGGCTCATATCAATCAGATAAAACAGTTAGGTCTTGCTCTTCCCCAGCTGATGTTAATAAGCAGACGCGGGCATGGGGAAGACCACAATTATCACCTCAAACAGAGAGAATACACCTGCAGAGGTGTTCAGTATGGAGCTTGTCTCCCAATTGTGAACTATCTCCAGCGTCTTCGTCGGCACCCACAGTAAAGGGTTTACCATCGCTGCCACTAGGGTCAACTGAAAGACCGCCGCTGGAAAATTATTAGGAAGAGGTGCAGAATTGTCCGCCGCCTGGCGACAAGACTGAGCGACTAAAGTATTGTTCTGTGTTCTGTAAGTTTTGGCTGGATGTTTATCCTCAAAACAGCGAACTGATGCGGATGCAGTTGCAGCATACTCGGCCATGACCACAAGGTCATCACCATTATTCTTACTACGGCGCTACTGCCTCGCAATTCCCATTGACACTACAACACCAGCTCTCAATCAAACTATACTTGACATCCGGGTGTCGTCTGTTTCTAGCTGCCCTTTTTTTCTTTTCTTTTTCTTTTCTTTCTTTTTTTTTTTGGCTGTCCCCTCCTGTACTCTTACAAAACAGCAATACATGTTCTCCATAATTCTCGTTTTGACATTGTCCTCCTCGTTTTCTGTACATAGTCCACCAAAATACCTGTTATATTTAATGAACCCCATATTGTATAGTACTGACATCTACAGCATATATTAGCCCCCTACTTGTTTTCGGGTGCTACATGCCTATATGAAAGGCCCTTAGCCCTAATAGAGTGTCACTCGGAGAGGGGTGGTGTGGGTTTTGGCAGGCAATGCCCTGGCCCAGCGGGCTTTGGGGCGGGGTGAGCAATGACCCTTCCTGCCCCAAGGCCCCGGTGGGTTGGGGTGGGTTTTGGCCCAAACCCCCGAGACTCTCCGTGTTATACCCAATCTGTCAATCGGATATCGCACTACACCAATCATAGTTAGTTCGGGGCAGCTCATGGGGCGGGCCCCCCAGCCAGCCCCAAATTCTCGGTGTTTTCTGTATTTCCATACCAATTAACGTATCGACGACATCAACCTGACATGGAGGGACCGGCCAAAAGCCATATATATTGTTATGTATACATATAGGATAGAGGAATCAACATAGAGCCATAGATATCAATATGTATCAATATATCGCCATACATGTCAAGGAAGAGGTATATATACACGTCGATATGTTGGCATGACAAAGAGTATCCAGTCAAAAGCCATATATATCGATAGATATCAATTTATATTGATTGATATATTTAGACGATATGTAGAATAATCAGCCGAGTGCCATATAGATCGACCAATTTCAACATATAAGCATATATAAGCATGGAGCGATTGCTGAAAAGCCATGCCTTCCCGTAAGGCCTTGTAAACGGGGCAGGGTGCCCCAAACCAGCTCGCCCCAACGGGCCCCCCAAAAATCAGCGGGGCGGGCATCCTCTGCCCCAACCCCAGACCGGGCCGGGGTCACGGGGCCTGCCAGTGACACTGTACAAGCAGTAGACACGTCAAAAGACAAGCCAACTGGCATTCTAACCATGGTTGGATTAAGTATTGTAATAGTATGTAATGGGAAATTCAGGAATATGAACCACTCCCATTTCCCATATTTCCCAACCCAACCCATCCCTATGCGAGTAAACAGGAACTGCAAGAATTCCCAATTATTCCCTTTCCCACTGCGGGAATTGGGGATTGTTTTCAATTCCCGACCCTATGCGGGATGGGAAGGGTTCGGGAACAGGAATTGCGGATTGGGAATGACACTCTATCTATCACTGAGGAAAGGACCTTTAGATGGCTTCATTTTTGCAGCAAGAAGAAGCTCAGTAAGACGACGTATGCTGGCAACAGTAAGAGGAAAACCACGAGAATCCATGTCTAGAATCCATTTCTTTAGAGTCAACTCCTCTGTATCAGAAAGCTTCCTTGAATTGGCTTCTATCTTGCCGCGAGGTTTGACGCCATTAAGACGCGTTTTGAAGGTGCTAGGTGCAACATCAAAGGCATTTGCACACTTTGCTTTTGATATAAAAAGACCTTTATCAAAAATTTCAACAGCTAGCTGCGTACTCTTCTCTTTAGATAGCAAATCCATGTTGTATAGCGCTGAGAATGAATCTTCAATTTGTTGACAGTCGAATACACGAGCGCTTTTTGGTCATGGCAGACTGGCCGCCAGCTCGGTGTCCGATTACCTTACATCGACTTTGAACTCCACAAGGTGCTCTGGGAATGGCAGGCTTTCGATGCCCACCATAGTGAACAACGGCTGGTGATGAGGGCACCACTTCCGGATGTAGTGGACCATATTTTCCCGCGCTTGCTTCCGCATATTCGACAATGCCACAAAAATACGCGCGCAGTTTCACAACATGATCCCAACCAGAGCAATTCTCTTCAATAGCGTGCCCCTCCTGAACGAGAGTGTGGATGATCAGATCATTCACGTTGTTAGCGATCTGTTCCTCGATCTTTGGGGGGTATTTCTGGTCAGAGGGTACATACCCGCTATTGGCATGTTATTAGACATACTGATAGGAGCGGTTCTGGTATACTACTTTGTCCGGTTATGACTAGCCAATTGCCGGTGATGCAAGAATCACTAAAACCATATTTCTCGCGGCATTCTTCTCCAAAGCCAGGTAGCTTAGTAAAAAGATAATAATAACTTATGGATTCCATGAGAATATGTAAGCTCTACAGTAAGCGCATTTGGGCTTGTTACCAGAACTGTCTCTTAAGGGTGATGCATCATGGACGGGCTGTCCTTGCGTTGAACAATCAAACCACTCCCTTGTCCTGTAGATATATCTCTTTTCTGAACTCCATAACCTTTCGTGCATATTCACTGACATTTACTATCACAATTTATATTGCTTCAGATCATGGAATGTGAATGATCCATAGATTCTCCACTGTCTCACGGGTTTAAAGACTTGCAATTTATTTCCATCTAGAAATAAGAGAACCATGCTACGTGCTGTGTGGCAAAAAAAATAGCCATTCTTGTAGGTCATAGACCAAGGGAGTATTTGGTACTTTCGAGCCTCGTCTACCAGGGCACCCTGTCCCTATTATAGTTAACAAATTGGCCAGACGTAGTTGACTTCTCGCTGCTTCGATATGCAAAGATGTTAGCGATCCTCGGATAGTCATAATAATCATTATTTGTTCATAGCTGGTTTGTAATTCCACGAACAATATCCTCAACGGTCACCGGAGCCTTCTCTAGTCCATTGAACTGCGCAGCGCGACTACCCATGTCGGTTTGAACAAGTCTTATCATTAAGAATTGAGACCGCCAGCATGAGTCTTCTGAATCCTTTGCGTAATGGGGGTGGGAATTTGAACCTACCCGGATCGATCGACAAAGCGGTCAAATGCTTATTTCAGCATCGATCTTCCTGACCAGATAATTTCCAGCCACCTACGACGTTTCATAAGCGGCAGTTTAACGAAGGCATATCTTCAAACTCAAGGATGCTCACCAGGAGCGTAGGGATATAAACGAAGTTGGGAGTACTGGCTCTGGCTTTGAACAGTCTAAGCAGTCACAGCATGTTCACTTCAAAGTGAGAAAGCACGTCCGAGTCAGACATTTCCTGCACCGGACCCTAGGGGTTGCAAATCCCCGCATTGGCAATGACAACGTCAATGCGCTCGATGTGATGCTGCGTCTGCATCTTGGATGCCGCCTCCGCAGCGCTTGATGGGTTGTCGACGTTAAGCGGCACGACAATTAGACCAGAGCCATGGCCCTTTGGCAGCGTACTGGGATCTTTCGCTTTCTCATATGAGATATCCTGAACGGTTCCAATGACAGTGGCGTCCGGCTGGGCAAGACAATGTGCCACGAGGCCTCTCCCAGTGCCTACAGACCGAATTAAACCCAAGACGTTTTATACTGGGAGGATGTTATTGGCTCACCTTGATTTGCTCCAATGATAATAATAACACGGCTTATCTTGAAGTGTGCTGCAACTCAAGAGCGTTGGCAATTTGGGGAGTCGGTAATGTGTGGATGTGTCACAGGCTGCGCCTGTCACATAAATGGTATGCTTAATGGGAGAGACGATGTTGGGGGGGGGGTTACTAATAGGATATCCACTGCGCACGGCGCACACATGTATATAGAATCGTCCATGCAGGACGAATGATATATAAAGCTAACTAGCAGTAGACACCTTGTAATCTGAAAGTAAAGGCACTACTAATACATAATTCATGTAGATGGCCGCAATCTCTTACATTAGACAGAAGCTTTTTTAGATGTTACTTATTGTTGGACGTCCCCGTACGTCGGGATGGTTCAGCTATCTGCGGGTAGGTTCAGCACATAGATGTGTAGGAGGTATTATCTCCCATGCGCCTGTACCTCCTAGATAGGGTCATCCATCTATCAATACACCGTGATATTGTCTGCATAGCTGTTCAATACTTATGCCACGCCAGTTTTGTGTCGTAGAAGAGTTTACAAACAATATAACTACTAGATACTAGTTATGTAAAATTGTCTTGATTTACTCTTAAAGCCCACATTTAGTTATGCTCTACAGTCCATGGATGCTCAACAGACCATTGGGAATCATGATCCGCAGTTGATTTAGCAGATCCGCCCAATTTAAACCATGAAGCTAACGCGACTCTTCAGAAAGCCTTTGGCTTATTGTAAGCTAAATTGTTCACCCAGGGTGTTGAACAATGACAAATCTATTTAGGGTCTCTGATTAAACGGTAGCCAATTATTCCTAAATCTGGCCCTCACCCATTCATTCGCCGGAATATCAGAATCAATGCTCCCTTCGTTCTTCCCATATCCCACTCGTCTCAAATATGGACTATCCATCGCCTTCATCTTGAGCCGATCACTCGGCAGGACGAAATAAAGCAATCCTAGCCGATCATTGCAGGCTTGATCTTCAGGCGGGGCAATGACCCGATGAATTCCAGCCTTGAGATAGCCATTTGTGAGCATCTGTACCATGCGTGCTAGGTTCACAGCTACCACACCTGCCTGGATGCGGACATGTTCCCAGCCGGACTCATCAGTTGCTTTCACCTGGAGTGCTGAAACAGGCTGTTGGAAGACAAACGTCAAGCTACCCTTGTCTGTATGGCCACGGATATACGTATCCTTGTATTCGGTATTCTCCTCTCCCGTTCTCGCTCGATACATCATATACCGCAGCGAGCTATCACAGTTGGCTTCATAGAGATGGCCCTTGACCAATTCATCCTCATCATCCAGTTCCAAAATTATAGCCAGCAGTTTAAGAATCTTATGAGAGACATTCTCATGCATATGACGGTGGAATTTCTCAATGTCGCCCCAGTACCGCTTGATCACCTCAGGTTGACTGCGTTGCGTCTCGGGGATGAATTTGAAGATGTTGTAGGATTCCAGGTTATCAAAAAGCCCAGGGAGAACCTCAATCGATCCAAGAGGTCGATAACCATTGTAGATTCCTTCTTCGAGTGGAGCACGGAACTTGAAGCGTTCTTCTTCGGGCAAAGCGAAGAATTCTCTTGCGATGGCGAATTGCTGGTCGACTTGTTCTTGGGTTAAGCCAATGTTGGTGATGTAGAAGAAGCCTACTCATTAGCACATATAGATATAGTTAAGGTAGGGGAGGTACCAATTTCATGGGTCGTCTGTTTGAGTTGAGCGGCAAGTCTTTCCTTTCCTCCTGGTCGATCGAATTCGGCCATGTCGAGGGTAATTAGGTTGGCGTAGTCCACTATCTCTAGTTAGTTTATATTGGATCTATCTTATTTGGATGCGGTATTCACGCTTGTGCTTCGTCTCTGGAGGATGAACATATTTCTCCAGAGGTTTCTGGATGTTTTCTGTTGAAGTTGTCATATTGATACCAGTATAGACTTATAGTCCGATAAAAATGAAATTGTTCAATCTGTTTCCCGGCTGAATCTACTAAATAAATAGGCAGAGCCATAAGTAGGTTTACATTAATGGCCCTCTTTGCATTTGTAGGTCTTCCAATTATGGTGTTACACGTTGCCTGGTTTACATCAGCTGCGTATTAGAGGGAAGTTCAGTTGGAGTGTGTTTTCAGCTGAGCTTTTTACTGTCGCAGGAGGTGGATCCCATCTGGTATCGTACTATGTGTTTAGGGTAATGATCGTTGTGGTGATGTTATTGGTTGAACAGTCTCACGGTGTTCTGGGGATGCACAAAATCTTGGTCAAAACGCACAACATCAGATATCTCTATAAACACCAACCCGGCTATGGAGATTGCCTGGACGGATTACAAAAAGCCAGCCTAGGCCAATACTCTGCTCTGTCTCCAACTGAATCAGCTCAGATGAGCATAAAGTCCGAGACTCATTGCCCGAATTCCCACTTGTGGAGGGCTCTAGCACAGAATTACGAAGCCGGTCGTTGGCTGGCTGAGAGCCCCCCATGAATGACGACCTGCACAAATAAGAAAATACCAGACCAGTCGTCGGAATATACACGGACGTCATGATTTCGTTTTAAATTTCAACAATAATGCAAGTACGGATACTCTTTACATATTCTACCAGCCAGCTGGCTTGCAGTGCAGTGCATCCTCCTGACAGAATGGGAAAGAGAATATTCCCCACGTTGGGTGGAAGATCCTGTCCGCGGCAAATTGGAACGTTAGCAGGTTCCAGGGATGTATTGGCATACCACCTGCCGTACGAGTATTGTGTATGCACCTGCACTGCGTCAGGTGAAGCTACGGATCACTTCTCCCTATACCTACTTGTATAATAGTCGACCATATGGCAGATAACCTTTCTCTTGCCGCGTCTAGTGCGAGGTGCGATGGAGAAGGGCCGTCGACATTGGACTCTCGACAAGGGTATATTTCTTTGGCAGTCTAGCGGTTTGTACCAAGGCCTCCACACAATCTAGATTCCGGATACGGGCCGTAGAAAGGCATACTCGCAGGGGTACTCCGTACCAAATAGATTAACGCAGACCCCGACCGATGGCGAATAATACAACATGCAACAGTCAGCTACAGCTATACATCTGTACAACCCTCGCAGGACGGGGTCAGACATTAGAAAACAAGGCGACCTTGCATTGGGACATGCCACCAAGTGCCGACGTGATTATCTGACCGATGGTTCTTTTTGGTAACCTTGGAAATGGACAGTAGACTGGCGCGCGCCGATCGGGAGATCATATGGATTCCATTTCATGTGGTGGTGGCTGGGGCTGGCTGCAGGTCTACTGAGCTGTGGACTAGCCATCGAATCGGAGGCTCTTTTGGAGCAGGTGGGTAGACGCCTGGGAAAGTGTATTCTGGAAGCGGAGCAAAAGAAATATAGATCGGATGAGATATAAGAGGGCTCGACGGCCCGTCTTGGTTGATGGCGAGGTACAATCTCACAACTACAAGACAAAATGACTATGCCAACAACCATACATTCTCTTTTATCGTTACTGCGATCGATTCTACTTGGTTCAGATAGTGGTGAAATGAAGCTATCTAAGCACAGCCAAGCATTTTCGAAACTACCAAGCGACTCCTCGCCGAAATCGTCAATGAAGGTCTGGTGGATGCTACCATCGGGGGGTCGAAAAACGACCAATATCTGTACCTACACAGTCATTTACCCGCTGCGAAGAATGCTAGCAAAAGTTTTAAAGTCGGTCTTCGGCCGGGCACTGTGTTAGAGACCAGAGATGGAAAGGTTGCAGCTGTTGTGCGACCAGATAGCTTGCAGCCGCCTGTGGTGATTGGTAATGGCGATGGACAAGAGGAAGAGCACAATCCAGAAATATTATTCCGGTTTCTAAGTCCGTGGCTAATCAAAGATGCCGATGAGGATACCTTGAACGAGATCGCCCTCGAATTGGGTAACTCAGCACGGAAACAGGGTAAGCCTTAACCCTGTACATGAATCACTGGATACATGCTAATGGAAAGCAGAAACATGGCTTGACATTGGCGAAGCCCAGAAAATTCTCAACTTGGACGACAGGTCCGCCGCCTGGGAACGAGCCCTGATATACGGCCACCCAAGCCATCCATACCACCGCCTCTGCTACGCCCAACCGCCTCTCCAACAAATCCAACCCTCCGACATCCCTGAAATGCTGACCCCAACGCTCGCTTTCCTCTCCGTCCCGCGAACAGATCTCCGCGTAACAGGTGCTTTTGAAGCAGCCATCCAGCCACTGCTAAGCAAACTGGAAATTCCTAGCACAAGCGCCGACAGAGTTGTTGTCCCCTGTCTCTCGCGCCAACTCTCCTCCGTACACCAACGTTTCCCAAACGCTGTTGTGCTAAAAACCATCGATAACATTGCAGACGCCCAAGCGTCAATGCGAACACTAACTCTCCGCCCAGAATACGACTTCGGCTACCACCTGAAACTCTCCCTAGCCTGCCAAATTACCTCCGCCCTGCGCACAATAACCCCCTGGACAACATGCGGCGGTCCAGTACAACAGCCCTGCTTGAGAAATTCCTCCCAACAGACCTCTGGGTCTTCCGTGAAGTCGCTGCAGTCTCAGGCGCACAGGACAACTTTGCCGACGCGAAACATCTCTCCTGCATCTTACGCGATGACCTTGAGGCCCGCGCAGACGCCAACAATGAGCGTCTTATGATCGCAGCAGCGCTCGCCCAACAGCCATACAACAACACCCGCAGCTACGCAGAGATCCTATACAACCTTCACACAACAACTGACAAACAATTCTGGCTACGCACATACGTAATCCGGCTCTTCACCCTGGTCCTCCCGCCTCTAGCACAGTATGGTATCGGTCTTGAAGCGCATGGACAGAACCTCGTTGCTCGCATTTGCCGGAAAACCGATGAGGTGAAAGGTTTTGCAGTGCAAGATTTTGGTGGTGTGCGGATGCATGTCCCCACATTGAAAAAGTTCGGCGTCAACTTTGATAGTTTGCCTCCTAGGGGTGCGACGTTGACGGAGGATTTACATAACTTGTGGAGTAAAGTGCATCATGCACTTGTACAGAATCATGTGGGGTTGATTGTTAGTGCGCTGGGTTTGGAGAGAAATGGGGGGTGGGGGATTGTGAGGGAGGTGCTTGGGGGTGTTTTGGAGCAGCAGGAAGAGGGGATGGGGAGGGAGCTGGCGGAGTATTTTATGCAGAATACAATGTCATTTAAGTGCTTTTTGAGGATGAGGATGGAGGGGAAGTATCGTGATGTAAGTGCCCACTTACTTCTGAAATCAGGGGGTATACTGACGATCTATGACAGTATGTCGAGAGAGAGGTGCCGAATGTGCTTCTTATGGGCTCGCCAAGATGGGAAGAGGTGCTGCAGACTTATGAACCGACGTTGCATTATACATAGGCGAGTGATAGCATTATTCCATAGCTATCTCGTCAGTTTGTATACATACAGGTTATCAGAATAAACGTAGCATTTATGAATCATCAAGCTCCGTTGGCCCCGGGATGAAATCCCATCCCCAATACTCCACCCCATTACCCTGAGGATTCTTGATATCATGACATGTCAGATTTCCCAGTTTTCCAAACTGCCCATCGGCCAAATAGGTATCACTCAGAATTCGTTGCCCGCACGGCCCTGGCATTTTTTTCAAGGTTGTCCAGGCAAGGTAGTTAATTAAATCTTGAATTATGGACACGGCTGTGTGATAGTCTGGTTCATCAAAAGCCTCCAATAGTGTGAAGCAGACACTGTCTGCAATGGAACGCACAGCATGAGCTGCTACGCCTTGGGTCGCGGCTGTGAAGGGAATAAACTGGGTTGCGCAACGCTCTGCCTCAGCCCTTATGTTTCTTATGTTTCGCCCTCCAAGGTCGAAGAATGGATCCAAAAACCTGAGACCGTCGTGCAATTGCTTCGTATTTGCTGTGAAATCCGCAGAAACAACACTCTCAAGCGTATGAGCGTATTTTTGAACCACCATGTCCGTGACGTATTGCCAATCAAACGAAGACTTATCCGTGCCATGACCCATGATCAAAGCTTTAAGCCTGCCGGATACGTTCTAATTTCAAGGAATCAATATGGTTCAAACGTGGCCGAAATACCTCGCTGTCCTACCGAATATATCAAAGTCGTAGGTGTAGGCCTTGGCAAAGTGATCGTAGTTAAGCTTCACCCAATTCCCCCCAATACCATGATACCGTGCCGCAATGGCCTTCATCCACGGCCCAGCATGAATTCATGCGTTGTCTTGTTACGATCCTTACCTGGCTGCGGAAGATGACGTGGGATCCTGCCCTTGCTTGCCTTGACCTCAATCTCACGTAGCAGGTGTAGATCGCGTTCGAACGAGCAGAGAATGATCATAAAACCAGCCTCCATGCGGAGCACCCTGCCCAATTGATCGTCCCATACTTCGTGCGATAGACGGCAAAACTCCTTCGCGCACTCGGATTCGTTCATAATCCGTTCCTCGTGGACTGTGTCGTTAACCAGAATCCGGTTCTGCGTGTCAAAAGTCCCGTTGCTTGTTTTTCCAGCGGACATGCCATCAATGTACAGCAGTCGTAGATCCCTAACAGGCACGTAGGTCCGCAACCAGCCACTCTCCTTCTGCTCTTCAGCTCGAGGGATGAATACATATGCATTTAGTCTAGCCAACAACTTCTCATCCACAACCTCTCTGTTATTGATCATCGACTGATCATGTGCGCCTTCTTCACCGTCGCTGTCATCACTGACACCACCGAGACCGGCATATTCATCCTCGGATTCCTCGGCTGCATCCTCGACAACATTCTTGGCTTTCTTTTTTGATTGTCGAATGGGACAATGTTCTTTTTATTCGTTGCCTTCTTCATAACGTCAAATGCACAGTCGATTTTGAAGTCGCCTTTACTTTGCTCTTCTGTTCCTTGACTATCCTCTAGACAGAGATTGTAAATCAGCATATTGTCAGCAGGCATGTGGTCGCTCGGCTATAGCATGTGCTTGGACCACTAATGCTTGGCCTGGTCCTGGTTGGGTATGTCGCAGCCTTGCAATGGCCGCTTGGGAGTCCAGCAAGATAGTGACTGGTCTTTGACCTCCCACTTTGTCTGCTAACTGGAGTGCTTGAACCGCTCCAAGAAGCTTTGCATCAAATACCTCATGTCCCTTCATCTTCACGTATATAGAATGAAAATACTGTAATGTGAATGAGTGAGATGATGAGTGTCAAGAGGACAACAGGGTTTGTTCTTATTGTTGATTCCATGTTTAATATATAAATGCAATAGACAATATATATATATAGCAGTTGATGAGTGTCCTGGGTCATATCATGCCTTTTCGTCTCCAGCAGGAGCTAACGCGCCTCCCTGATCCAACAGACATTCACCAGGCTGGGGCATTATATGTTCAATCGTCTCCTGGATTGGATGAGGGTAGTGCGACGTCTATTAATGTCAATTGGATGATGGAAAAAAAGTTCTGCAACAAGAACTGCCTGTCACGGTCAGGTGAAAGCTAATGATATTGCTCTTGTTGCGTTATAAAATGTTTGTACCTAGCTCAATCTGACTAAAGAATTTGATGATATCCAGATCATTTGGGCCGCCATCTAGAAGTAGCTGCAGACATGGCCGGACAGATCTCCCTCAATTTTCGTCACAGATGAGCAAGGGAGATGACTCATCATCAATTTGCGTGTCACTTCGTTACCGCACCTCAATATCTAACGTGTCCTAATGCCGAGGATCGTTTGACTGTTTTCAAGTATAATAGAGCGGACAAGAACTCTTCGAGACTGTCATCCGAGCTAGATATGCTCAGAGATGATAGATCATTCTCTGCTGAATATCCCCGGAAGGCGGGCGGCTCGATTGTATATTAGTGTTGTCTTGAATATCGCAGCAGGGAGATTATGCTTGGGAAGTGGCAAAGTGCTTGGAAGGGGATCATGATAGGGTTTGGGGCGAGGAAATTTTTGGGTTCTTGGAGTGCACAGATGGGGTGATTTGAATTGTGAGAATGGCTTTCTGTAAGAGCGAGCCCACGGCTTGAAGTTGTTCATGTGAAAGGTAGGAGGCATATTTTAGGAAATGGGGATGTTTAGGATATATTATGATAAAAGAGGGAAGAGGGGGGGGAGTGGAAGCTGAAGAGGAGAGTGCGGGTTGTGGGAAAAGTGAGTTGAACGTTGCAACCTCTGCGACCTCAATTGTCCTCTTTATACTTGCCCTCAATCTGTCAAGCCCACCATTCTACCTTTCTCATCAGCAGAAGCAATGAGGCAAATTTCTCTCGTCCTAAAAATCTCATCTGCTGACGTGTCTAATTTCACCTACTAGTGACGCCTGGAGGCCGAGATCCGGTGCCCTGCGCCAATCGCATCTGGGTGTTGCACTTCCAAGCCTCGCATGTCAAACACGCTAAAAATAAAAAATTACGCGGTGATTTTGCCATTGACTGGTAAACATGGCGAGGACACGTAGATAAATTGTTCCTGGTGGGGTCGAAAGACAGCTGTGGAGGGGGGTAGGCGCCATCCAGTTCATAGCCAGACCTGGTAGCCAGATAAACCAGGAATTTCCCTTTCCTATGTACAATCTTGGGAGCCTGGCTGAAGAATAAATTATGGGATTTTGAGATAAGAGACCATAGCGAGGAAGCTGAGGATCCAGAAATCCTCAAGGGAAAGCCCAAATAGGATAGCATGACTGGAAGCAACTCAAAAAGTCGCTGATCAGCTGGCGGACACGTGAAGGGGCCCATAACTGCAATAGTGAGCAGCAGCACAGCATAAAGGGTAAATTGGATAGCTTTATTTCCAATAAAGCGACAGTAACAAGGTCTCAATGTCTCAATATTCCAGATGACCCGTCGGCCACCCCGAGGAGAGTGGACAGCGCCCTACTAGAAAAGGGAAATTCGTCAGGTAACGCAGCATCTTGGTAAGAGGGCAGTGCACCGGGCGAGGCAGGCAGAAGAAGGGAAAGGGTAGAGAAAGTGCGTAGTCCTCTGAGGGAGAGATGTCGGGCTTTTATAGATGCAACGGGTGTGTTGAGGCGGCATGTGAGCGACCTCAAAGCGGCATGAGGCAGCACTATCCCTAGTACAGTAGGCGCCATACCATAAAGGGCACGATATGTTCTTACTTAGGATCGATCTCAAGTGTAGCCACACCCTGAGATAGCTAACCCTATTTGTCCCTGCTGTCGATGTAACACAAGAAACCTGGAGATGGCAACACATGGTGCTCGGTACTATGTATCCAAACGTGTTCATACTCCTGAATGTGGGGTATTACGGGGACCCGCGTGGCCTCTACCATACTGAGCGTTGAAAGGGATTCTTTAATCTCCAAGACAGTGACAATGTTGAATTGCATCAGCCAGAATGAATTCGGCTCTTGACCACAACAATACCTGCAGTGCATGTTTTCATGACTGACACAATCCACGAGATGGTAGCCGCAAATACGCAGCACGACTGAATATATATTCTGAAGCCTTTATCTACATCACACCTCAAGCCACATCTCAATCTCCTCCACCTGTACATCCATCTCCCAATCTCCCCTCCAAGACGTCGCACCATAAATTTCATTCCCAGAAGGGACACTGTGAAGGACTGTCATCCGCTTAAGTTTCCTCTCAAACACCAAAGCCACTCCATTCCCTTTCTCTCCGAAAATAAGGCTCCCGTTCTTTTCGACCTTAAACCCTGGCCGCTCGGCATTATAACCTCTAAACATATCGTGGACGGGGCTTAGTTGGAACAGGAGACAGTGATTCCTTCCTTCTTTATCAGGGGAGTCATACCATGGGAGGTGATATCCGAAAACCACCCCTTCGTTCGTCTGTGTAAGGTAACCAGAGATAAGGAGGATGATGGCAGCTTCTTCAGCTGGGATTGTGGTAATTTGTTCCGCAAGAGCAGCAACGTTTGTTGTTGACATATTCTCATCAAGATCATAGTGCTTGTGTAGCTGAAGGCCGGGAATGCTCAGCGTTTCAATGAGAATCATTCCCAGTTGAGAGAAAACAGGCAGTGTGGCTATGCTGCCTAGCTTGGGTGGCGTTAGAGGGGTCTTGGTGTCGTTCTCGTCATACGGCTTGTAAAGAGAGAATAGGAGGCGGTGATAGCCTCTGAAAAACTCCGGCTATTTTCTTCAGTTAGTTTCTTTCTATCAAACCCTTCAATCAGGAGAGCGTGCGAGACATGCCGTCTTATTGATGGCCTGATTAAACATCTCCCAGGTAATACCCATACCCGGAACCTGAGCAAACGCTCTAACGACACAATCTGCAACACGATCCAGATTGGCATCTTGCTCGATCTGAGCAACCGGTTTCCCAAACTGTGTAATCAAAAGCATCTTCACCAAAGCCTGAAATTCATCCTGCGGGATACTCAAATTGTGAAGATGCTCCGGCTGCTCTCAACGAAATTCCTTAGCAAACTCCCGGAACCCATCTCGCGGAACGCCACCCCGCCCTACCTGTGGGTATTGAGAAACGACATATAACACATCAAGCAAATCATGGAATATCTCATCACCATCCTTGTCATAATTCGTCCTGGCATATACCTTCCAACTGTCCCCATTCAATACGCTAGTGTAATCAAACGCCCTGCACCCTCGCGAATTCCGCATCAAAGGGCAATTTCTTGCCGTCAAAAGTTGTCGCGAGACTTTGGAAGATGAGGCGACGGGTATCAGCTGGTGCTCTGGTTTGAGTATCAATGCTTTCTTCGTAGACAGGTCTGGAGCGCTCGGAGTCGGTCCAGACAAGTGCTCTGAGGAGGCCATCGAATGTCAAGTGTGTAGGCAAGGACAGGGAGTCATAGAATGGTGCTTGAGAAAGGTATAGAAGGCTGTTGTAAATTAGAGCACCTGCTTGTGCCATGGATGGTGGCAGGTCTCTGGCGGACTGGGTGATGATTTCTGTTCCATTGTCGTTTGTGCAGAGAGAATTGAAATTCTTGCGAAGGTGTGGCAATTCCTCGCCCCTTATGGTACCAAAGTCCTTGATTCTTTGGCTAAGTGTGTTGAGAATAGCATCGGGGGCCAGGGTTCCCTTTTTGACTAACGCGGCGATAGTTGTGGAGTTATGCTGGGGGTCCATTTCGCATCAAAACACCTTAAAAGCCAATAACGCTCTCAAAGGAAAAGGAAATAGCGCGCTATAATCATGTTAAGAAGCCACAATTCGAATTCGAGAGTGGTTGATGTTCTGTTAAAACGGTTGTCGGTCTTAAGGCTGTGCCAACGCCGTGGCTGACAGTGATCTTCCCTTCGGCCCCATGAGGCTGAAACCCAGTCCCCATCACCTCTGACTGTCAGCTTTACTTGGTACTGCTACAATACTTTGAGCCTGAGATTTGGCCTGAACTCCTGGGTCCAGTCCCCGATGGAGCTGGTCTCTTTTTCTGTCGATCGCTGTGCAAGGCGAATTCGACAGATGCCATCCTGAATGCCTAGCGTTTTGTATACTTTCGAATAAAAGATACTATCAAGACGGAAAGTTATGAATTGTATAAGAATGTCCTTGAGATACCTTCCATTCATCATCAACCTCTGCAACAGCGATCCTCTCTATCCTCTCGATCATTCTCTGCCTCTTTTTCAATTGATCCTTTGCGAGCACCACCTCTAAGAACCAAACAACATGAAGTTCTCTATTATCTTCTCCTCTTCCTGGCCGCCCTCACCATCAGCGTCGGCGCCAGTCCCATCCCCTCGGACTCAAGCATCCAAGAAACCGTGAATAATTCCACCACCGCGCCAGTCAAGCTCTATGAAGAAAGCTCGCTCAGCAAGCGCAACAACCCCCAGTCGAAGAAACCAATACATTAAAACAGTTTGTCAAGGTCCACAAAGACATGAAGAAGGACTAGTACTATGCCTTTACCGTGAAATGGACCTTCGGCACCGCGCCCGGCGACCAGACCCCCGAAAAGGAAATAAAAGAGATTTAGGAGAAGTACGGCTTCGACCATATTGCCCTTGCTATCGGGAAGGTGACGGAGAAGACAACGATGACCGGTGGCGAAAAGGATAAGACTAAGAAGATGGTTCTCGACTTATGCCCATATGTATCACTTGAAGACGTATGTGTCACGAGCTCGGACCAGTAGATACTAATGAAATGATATTCCTATCTAAACCAGTGTAGCCATCGACTAGAATATCGAATCTGGAGAAGAAAAGAGAAGAGGCAAATCTATTTACATGAAGAAGTCCTATATGGTTGTGTGTGGTCTCGCTAAGCAGCTTGTTTGCCTTGGTTGCTTCCATGGCATTGTTTGCCGTGTTGATGATGTTTGCTGATGAAGGCGCTGGGCTGAGCCGTTACACATCATGGTGCTGTATTGGAGCCCCCCAGAGGTGATCATTGCCAAGAACACAGAAAATGCAATCATAGAACACAACACAATAATGGCCCACGGCCAGCCAGTAACAGCAATATACACAGATGGGAGTGGGATCAACAGCAGAGTGGGAGCAGCAGCAGTCTGCCCAAAGCACCAGGAAACGCGATCAGAATACATGGGAGAACAGACAGAGGCCACAGTATATGCTACAGAACTGCAAGGGATCCTCCTAGCTCTTGTCATCACTTTACGCCGCCAAATACAACATGCCATGGTCTTCACCGACAATCAAGCAGCACTGCGGGCAATCCAAAACCCAGACAGGCAGTCAGGACAATACATCCTGGAGACAGTGCTAGTGGCTATTGATAGAGCACGCACAAGCAAGCTCATGATAAGCTTCTGATGGATACCCTCACGCAGTGGTGTTGAGGGGAACAAAAGGGCTGACCAGGCAGCAAAAGAAGCAACAGGATGGCGACAGTCCCATGGACATCGAGGCAGGATGGGAGAAGCCATAACTGCAGCAACAGCCCCCCGACCAGTTCAGCAGAGGCTTCTCCGAACAGCAGTAGAATCCAGAATTCGGGAAGCAATATATACGCTGTGGGAACATGACTGGCAGACAAACCCACATGGACAGGCAGTGTATGAGCTGACACCAGCCCTGACCAAACAAGTTCTGAAGATGCATCAGGGTCTCTATCAGGCACTCAGTACAGTCATCATCCAGATGCGCACAGGAAAGATAGGGCTCCAACACTACCTCTACCAGCATGGGGTACCAGACATACCAGACATGAACTGCCGCTGTGGGAAGGCCGCCCAGACAGTGCAACATGTACTCCTGGCATGCCCCATCTTCAAGGATCTTCGAGAGCAGTTCCTGGGAAAACCACACAGAGGACTAGAAGGAGGAGGGAATCTGAGGACAATCCTGAACATGCCTAAGCTCGCAACCCATGCAGCCAAATTCATGCTGAGAACCAGGCTCCTTGGGCAATTCGGGGCCGTAAACAAGGAGGAAACAAGTTAGGCAGAGCACTGAGGTCTTTGGGTACATAGCAATCTAAGAGGGCCCGGGGAGCCCCGGATTCTCATGAATCTGAGAGGAGCTGACCCTCAAGAAAAGCACACACCATAGATGTAAATAGGTATCAAAAACTACCCCGGCGGCTTACAGCCGGAGGGGCAGTTCCCGCATAGCCATGGATTAAGATTGGCTGGGACGGGTATGAGTAAATCCGAATCCGAATCCGAATCACTCAGTACCCATAGGGTCATGTGCCTGACCGCCCTCGCTTTCTGCCCAGTAGTCATATAATTTAGCCTAGCCGATAGACCGCCGGTCCAATCAACTATCCTTGCCCACTATGAGGTACTCAGTTCATCTTCTTGCATTCCCTTCTGAGAAACCAGTACTAGTAGATAAGTAAATAGTCCGCAAGTATCTGGATATACTGGCTCATTGATATTTGCGATGATTGGGTTCATGATGACAAAATATGCCGTCCAATGTACAGAGTACTATGCGCACGTATAGGTGACCCCGACTAATGATAATATTAGTTACAGCATACACTGCACATGACTTAATTTTGTGGATTGCTATCATAGCAAAGATTGATCATAAGTATGACTACTTAAATGTTCCAGGATTCATTTCGCTGAGCAAGATCGACATTGCTTGTACTACGTAGCTAACCAATCTCAAAAATCAGATTTTGTCAGTTGCTTTTTATATGATGCAAGTACAAATACAAGTACGGAAATAACTGGTATTACCTGGTTTATTACATGGTGATCATACAAGGTCTTTGCCATTACTGATTAAAATAATTAAGTCTAGCGCAGGGCGGCCTATATTCAGACGGGTTATGGGCCCAAATTCCTCACTCCGATAGGTCCATACCAGCCGGACCACACAGATAGGAGTACTATGGGGCGGGCCTCACCTCACCCATCCATCATATTCGCCAAAGCTGAGGCCCAGTGGTTTCGAGATGGCGGCAGTATTCCTGATACCATTGGCCATTGCGCGATGCTTAGTTGGGTCTTAGCCTGAAGCTCCGTTCACCATGCCATCGCTCTCGTCCGTCAGTCACCATCCCCTTTCTCAGCCATGTCCAGCGCCATGCTTCGGAGGTGGAAAGCAACTACTCTGGTATATGCCGTTCTGCTTTTGATCGTGGGCACGGCGTTCTTTCGGGAACTATGCAAGGACAATTCATTCAACCCATCTACATTGAACGAAAATATCGTCGCCACCGACGCCGACGACACCGCCGCCGCTGAAGACGAGTCGGACTTCTGGGAATGGGAGACCACGACCCGGTTCTCCGCTAGAAAGAAAGACTTGAAAGAGGATGACCAAATTTGCGATTCATTCCCTTCCCACATGTTATCCCAAGTTCAAGTCATTTTGAAAATCGGTGCATCTGAACCGGCCGATCGTGTAGATACCCAGATATCTACGGTCACCCGCTGCATTTCGAACCTCCTTATCGTCTCTGATATGGAATCTGAGCTCCACGGACATCGCGTTCATGACGTCCTCGCAGACCTACCGGAATCAGTTTGGTCTAATGAAGCCGATCTCGAAGCCTACGAAGCATTGAAACAAGGCAGAGTAAAGTCTGTCAACAACCAGCAGGGCTGGAACCTTGATCGCATGAAGTTTCTGCCCATGCTGGAAAGAGCATATGATGTCAATCCGACGGCCAAATGGTACGTGTTTCTAGAATCGGACACTTATTATATCTGGGACAACCTTTTCCGGTTGTTGGATCAATTCGACCCAACAGTTCCATTGTATTTCGGTTCCCCATCGCCGGGGAAACCAGATGAGGGCGAGACTACATGGTTCGCGTACGGAGGCTCTGGATACATTATCTCGGCCGCTGCGCTTCAAAAACTCGTTTATCGAGAAACGGGGGCTTTTGGAGAATACATTCAGCCATCGCTGAGTGCACAATATGCGGACCTAATCAGGGGTACTGATTGCGGCGACACAGTAGTCGGTTGGGCATTATATCAGAAGGGCATCAACTTATCCGGTGCATTCCCCATGTTCAACCCACATGCGCTTCATAGCGTTCCATTCGACGAGATGCACTGGTGCCGCCCAGTAATTAGCATGCATAAGACGAAGTTGGCGGACATGGAAGGGCTGATGAAATGGGAAAATGAACGGGATCGGAGGGTCAGTAGACTCCCTTTTTTGATTATAATATCCGTGATTGCTAACCAGAAACATGCATACAGTATCCCCTCTTGTACGCCGAACTTTTCAACTATACCGGAATGGGAACATTCGACAAACGACCCGACTGGGACAACGCAGATTGGGGTGGATGGCAAGAACCCCCTGAGTCACCAGCCCACACTTCACTCAAGGCCTGCGGTGCAACTTGTCATGGCAATGTAGACTGTCTCTCATACACATACAGTTCAACAGGACACTGTTTCTTTATTAGAACCATGCGGCTGGGGGACAAGAGACCGCTAAACCTTGAGGAGCGACAAACAGCTGGATGGGATCTGCAGAAGATGCAGAATTGGATTGCAAACCACCAGTGCGGGAAAGCGCAGTGGGTGAAACCAAGCCTCCGTCGGATCTTTTAGTGATTTGTATGGATACATCCTATTACTTGTCTTATATAACTATTCATTGAGGGAGATCTCTATACTTCACTGATTCTTGTGTACAGAACAATGCGCGATATTTCTTGCATTTTCAATGTATTCAAACACAACATTATACAAAACTGAGCCTAATCTATAATAATAGTTGGCCACCTTCAGGTTGCAAATGTGTTCTCTGACAGTTGTGGCGCTGTCTCAAAGTGAACAACAAATACAATGGTTGGCTACTTGGAGTACCCTTTTGGGTAAAGAAAGCACATTTTTGGAATGACATGGCCGCCTTCTTCAACCTTCTTGTATTATATCTATACCTAGCGACCCCATTAGATGCTTTGTAGGATGTACATAAATATATCGCGTACCCAATTAACGATATACAATGATACACCCATACCTTATTAATATGGTATACGGTAATAAAAGTCACTTATTAATTCCTGGCCTGCGAGCCATCCATCTCTGACAGCCAATTTGTATCCCCTGGAAGTTCCTGGCGCTGCAGTTGCTGCAGTCCTTCGCGAGTCGGATCATCCGGCATCTCAGCAACAGCAGTATCCGTCCCAGTCGCCGCCAATTCAAAAGGCCTGTCTTGACCATGAAGTTCAGCCCAACTCGGCTTCTTTTTGAGAGGCTCATTAGTAGCAGAACCTTCTTTCACATTGCGACGTCGCTTATAGACGACCAAGAAGAACGCAAGCCCTCCAATAGTGGCTGCACCAGCCACTGCACCAACGGTAGCGCCCGCAATGCCACCTTTAGAAATAGAGCCAGAGTCCGTGTGGGATGGGGATGCACTGGGGGTAGATGAGGTTGTGCCGTTGGATGTTGTTTGATCGCCAGACGAAACCGCGTGCTTGTTTTTAAACACGTTGGCCAGATTGGTGCTATTCCATCCTTTTTTGGGTTCTGTCGCGGTGGCACCGCCAGTTTTTCTAGATATAGGGATGCATTAGCGACCAGAGACCTTTGAAAAAAAAAAAAGGGGAAGACCATTTCAAATACCCTCCACCGATAACATCGGAAATACTGGAATGAATGGTGTACTTTTCGTCATCGGCATCGTAATTGGTATTCCATTGATGCTTGTTGAGGTCAAATATACCAATGCCATTCTCGAAAATGTCACTATCGCAATTGGCTTGCAATGGTTCATATTCGTTGCCATCCACTGGGACTGTGCCACCAACTACTAGCATGGTATGTTGTCCTGCAAGTTGACACTTGTGCTTGATTCGGAGAGCATTGCTCCCTTCAAGCTGAATCCATTGAAAGGAAGGTATGGAAAGGACGTACACATTCCCATCAGACGATTCTGTATCGTTGGACGAACCACCAAAGACGTATCTGACACTTTCCGTTAAAGAAGAGCTCCACTTATTCCGGGTAGTAGCAAGCTTACATGGAGAAAGATGATAGGTCCTGTGCGGGAGCAACGACACTACATCCGGACATTCGCCAACGGGGGATATCTCCCGTGCTTTGCTGAGTGTACCACTCATCGTTGGCGATATCGTACACGGAGATATTCTGCATCGAATTCTAAATTTGTTAGGCTATATAGTCAAGGGGCAGAAGAAGATTGGTGGTTCCGTACTCGATAATTCAAGTTCATCACAGAGGCGGCCAAAAGATCCATGGGCTGTGCCACAGGTCGTGTGCTACCACCGAAAGCAAGCAATATTCCCTCATCGCCGAAGTTCTCAATCAGGTTCATGTATCCATCGGCGATCGTTCCGAAGTGGTTCATGCTTTGAGTGGACAGGTTGGACCATGTGAGAGTCTCTTGATCAAGCACAATCATTCCAGAGTCAGGATAAGGTCCTGCTCCGTCAGTGCCATAGACATCAGGATCACCACCAGGGTCCAATAGACCGCCCAGATAATATGCCTTTCGATTGACGTTGGATTGGGCTGTGGCTCCTTCACTAAGTCGCTTGACGGGGTAGCCCATAAACCCATCCGACGTCCATTCGTCATTTTCAATGTCATACCTCCAGGTTGCCAGCGGTGGAACTATGTTTGGTTCGAGGTGGCCACTAATGTAGCCACCGTAGAAGTATAGATTGGATCCATCGGAAAAGGTGGCGCCCTCATTCATCACAGGTGGATACTGAGCTGGTTTCGATGCATTGAAGGGTTTCTTGATGGTGGTGAACAAGTCCTTATCATAATTAGTGAATGGCTTGGAGAGATCAATTGCTAGGAGATCGCGGACTTAGGAATAGCATTCCATTGTGTTAGTATCTGCACTATTGCTACCGCATGGGGAAGAAAGCATAAGGAAGAATACCTGCTTCGGCTATGATGCTCTGATTTGAGTAAATATTCCTCACTTCACCACCGTCAATATAAAGGGTTTGGTTATTGATGACAGCTAGAAAAGAGCATTGATAGTTAGTCGACCGTTATCGACATGGGGCAGTTGAGAGAAATATTTATTGTCCAACCTACCTGAATTGAACTCGCGAGTGCAATATTTCTGAGCGAACCCCAAAGCTGCCCACAGGGACAGACATAGCAGAATACCAAGAAGCATATTGGCACTCTCTAATGCGATATAGACGCGGAATGTGTACGCATAAGCCTGTGTACAGTGCAAAATGAGGATATGGACTAGGATAGCAGGTTGAAGTACGAAGTACTAATTATATTCAATAACAAAGCAGAGGGTTCTCGGTATTCAGTCCATTGCGGCACCAAAAAGAATTAAAAGAAAAAACAATGGGATTTGTTAACTTGATGAAACAATACTAGGCCCTAAACTAAACAGCACACTTGCCGCTGGCTACTCCGAAAGGATGAGATTTTTTTTTTTTTTTTTTTTTAAAAAAAAACCCTGAAAGCTTAAGGGCTGTGCTCATGTCCCTCCTTCCGTTATGATCAAGTGTTCATGATCTCGTAGTGTACGGTAACTTTTGCAAAATGATGTACAACTTTCCACAGTGTACTTATGGCACATGGCACGGGATTGCATTGTGATTACTGAGCTGCTGTAATACCACTCGGCTCCTGAGCCATTTCTGATCCGTATTATCTCGCTTGCATTACGCGTGGAGTGGACGAGAGGCTTTGTACAGAGCTTGGAGTACGGAGTACGGCAGACCGAAATATTGATTTTAAGCGCCAGGATTACAACTAAAAGATACCTGTGGGGGTTTATGGTCCATGAGTACATATCAATTACCAAGTATGGTAGCCATACGGTTTTTGCGGCGCAGTTCAATGTCAATCACTTAGACCTAGATAAGCCATGTTACTACGGAGTACTCCGTACTAACCGAGATTTACATTACGATTGTCGAGGAACTCACGGGCCGATTGTGATAATCACCCGCAGAATCTCGCTTGACCGTCATTACCTCGGCCCTACATTCACCTCTGTGTGCTAATAGGGTAGCATGCTTCTTCTGAAGAATAACAGACTTGTTGATGTAATCTATGTGAGCTATATGCTACCTATAGATAATAATATCTATGGGTCTACTGCGGTACTTACCATCCACGGTCTCAAGCACCGAACATTTCCCCTTTTGGGGGCCCACATGAACAAGTCAAACCAAAGTTCTTAGGGTATCTTATTGGGCGGATATGTTGATAGATACGTACTAATGTAATTACAGCGCTCCATGTGTTCTCCACTTGAACTGTTTTACAACAACCCGGGTGGTTCCGCTAATGCAGCGGCTGGCAGTTTTCAAACCAAACAGGAAAGTTGGGCATAGCTCGGGTATCGAGCCGTGGCTAGTCCTTAGCTTATTGATGAGTGCTCGATCAGATAACTAAGGCTTGGAGATTACTTAGCAGAGTACCCCGTTGCCGTCTGCGGCAGTGGTGCTTCCTGAATTTTGCTCCTTGGCTATTGTTTCTCCAACACTTACGCTCGTTCTAACATCATTATATTGTGCCCATATGAGCTATACTGTATCACCCTATTGATCCATTGATAATGCGTCTTCGGTCACTCTCATCGTTTAATTTGCGTTGGGTTGTTTTGGCCGTGACTGCTACCCTTTTCTTTGCATTCAGCTTGATCCGATTATATTCCCACCGCAGTCTTAACTACCACAACGTCAGCAACGATGTCCTGCTATCAGAGGAACCCTATGAGATAGATGAAAAGGAGAATCACCCTATCAACGATCTAATTACTAATGCAAATGCGCAATGGCGTTCTCTCCTCGAACAAGAAACGCACACGCTGGCGGCTGCCGCGGATCAGTATCGTTCGCGGCGTGGACGCCATCCTCCCCCAGGATTTGCAGAATGGTTTGAGTTCGCCAAGTCCCGGAATGCGGTTGTTGTGGAGGATTTCTTTGATCAAATTCATCATGATCTGAACCCGTTTTGGGGGTTTGAGCCCCGCGAAGTGCGTCGACGGGCGAGAGGATACGAACCGCGCATCGAGGTTCGCAATCATAAAGCTAAGCTCGTGGGAGATGGAGTTTGGACAGACACGTGGCTCGACTTGGTGAAAACGCTGGAGAAATACCTTCCGGACCTTGACATGCCTATTAATCACATGGATGAATCTCGAATGGTGATCCCGTGGGGAGCGGTTAATACGTTGATTGACAAGGAACAAGCTAGTCGCGGACTGACTGAGACAGACAAGACCGTCAGCGAATATATGAGCCACGAGAAGGAAGTAAATCAGGAACCCTTTGAGCCGCGCTTTCTTGGTCCTGTTGACTCTAGCGTCTGGGAAATGGCTCGCCTTGGCTGCGCCCTTGACAGTCCCTCGCGCAACAGCTTTATCCCCCAAATCGACTTCGCGAGCCCGCCGCTGGAGATGGACAACTATATTCGCTTGGGATACAAGGGCTACGTGAAGAACTGGACACAGACGATGGACCCGTGCCTCCGTCCCGAGCTTCAGGCTCTCCACGGGACCTTCATTGAGCCCGTGTCCGTTTCGACGACACACGATGCGTTCCCGCTCTTTGGAGGGTCCAAACTCACGATGAACAACGAGGTCCTAATCCCACCGGCAATGTACTGGGCCGACAATAAATTATACAATGGAGGTGAAAATGAACACGGCGGTAACGATTGGGATGCGAAAAAGGACTCTTTTCTTTGGCGCGGTTCCGCCACAGGTGGCCGCAACAAAGAGGAGAATTGGACAGGCTTCCAACGCCATCGTCTGCTTTCCATGTTGAACCGAACCTCTGTAGAAGCTGCTCAACAAACGCGTCATTTTGCAAATTTCATTCTTCCTGACTATAATTACTACAACCTCGCTACCAGAATGGAAGGAAACCTCCCCGCGTTGCTTGAAAATCACACAGATGTCGGCTTTGTCCACCTCCTTTGCTTCCCTGGCGATGGTGACCCGCACTGTCCCTACACAGACCCATACTTCGCTGTCACTCCCGGAATGCCTATGAAGGAACAATACAACTTTAAATACTTACTCGATCTCGATGGTAACTCCTTCAGCGGCCGCTACCGCAGCTTCCTCCGCTCTACCTCCCTGCCTATCAAAAGCACCATCTACAAAGAGTGGCATGATTCCCGCATACTCCCCTGGGTACATTTTGTCCCCATAGATCCCACATTCATGGATATCTACGGCATCATGGAGTACTTCTTTGGTGACGGGAGAGAACGTAAAGGCCATGATTCTGTGGCACGCAAAATGGCCTTCGACGGAAAGGCATGGGCTGAGAGGGTTCTTAGACGTGAAGACATGCAGATCTACGTTTATCGATTGCTTCTGGAATATGGAAGACTTAGCGATGATCGTCGTGATTTGCTTGGATATGTTCAGGACCATTTTGACGAGTAGTCAGGGTATTAAAACACCTGATATCTTGAACGATTATTCTTTTCCCTAAGTTATACCTTTTTGCTTATAAATGGATGCTGGTAATCCATTAAATTAATTTGAATTAATCTTAATTGCACGCCTCGAAAACGAAAGTGCAGAGTGGCTGATAGAAGCAGCTATGATTCCAATGTACCCAGGAAGGTACAAAGTCCTTGGCTTGTGCGATTGCTACATTGGTGCAATAATCATTACATTTGTCTCGGGATTGACAAATTCCAGACGCCGAATGCCATCAAACTCTCATAGATGGGACGGGCAACGATTTCTCGTGGACTTGACAGTTGGGCCGTGCCTCCACATATCAGTGAGCCTATACTGTCGTTGACGAGGCCACCTGAGGGGTCGAAAAAGACCACGGCCTATTCAGACGCCCCAGCTGCAGTCGCGATCCTTTCTAGCCGATAAGCTAGGGCTGATCGTCGCTATATCATGTACCCACTTGCAAGAGGTCATGGAATGCCCTGGTCCAGGTTGCCCGTGTCTAACGAGGTCCTGGGTCCAGGCCATTCCATGTCATTCCCAAATGGCTTGCATAACCCGCTGCTCTACGAGTTGTATTCTCCCTCGCCGCTTGATGAAATTATACACATATGTGTATTGGAACAAGTCGTTCGAAGTTTCATGGGGTGTTGCGCAATCTGAGAGAGTGTTCAAGCCCAGAGGTGTCCTGTCTGCTGCCCAAACGATGCCACATTCATTGGAAGAACAAGTCCAGTTTCGGTCTCAAGTACGAATTGGGTAGACAGTTGTCGGATGGTTTTAATAACTTGTTTCCTCTGATAGTGTGGCTTGGGTGGTTGCTGTCCGAGCAGGTGAAAGTTCTGCACTTCAACAGCCGCTCGCGCCACGTTGGATTCTTTTATATCCCCCTCGAGAGGGTACTGACAACGGACACTATGAGAAGGTGGAGAACCGCGGTTCTAACCACTTGATGAAAACAGTTATCAAGCGTGCTCGCTTAGGGCAATTATTTGATCTGGTCAAGCTCGACCTTGATCGCACCGGGAGCTATTCCCGCTCTAATTCCTCTTCAAACTGTGTCCCGCTTGTCGGGTAATATCACCACCCCGTTCTACCCTACAATTACGATCCACATTCTAGACACAGAACGGATTCTACGAATAACCCTCCAGAAACTAAACTGTCATCTACTATACTCAGAACAATAAAATAGGCACTATTAAAAACGAATAGAGGAAGAGCTTTGGTTGAGAAAACTATCTATTGTAAAGGTCCTTTTATAAACGATCTGGCGGCCGTTAACTAACGTAATCCACTACCGAGTGGCGCACACCACCGAGCGGCGCACCCGCCCCCATCTATGGTATTTAAATGCATCTATATCAGCCATAACGCCATTAAATTAAGAAAACTACCTAATTAGGTCTATCTGGACATGTATCTCTTCTATGTCCTGGGACCCTGCAAATTCCACATCCTCGTGGAGGCCGCGTACGTGGCTGTAAAGGTGGTGAAGGCCATCTTGGCCGGGGGGGTGCTGGAGCTATTGGGGCTTCAATCGGAGCCTCAATTAGCTCAACAGCCTCCCGAACTAAAAGGCCACCTTCATAGGGTATCTGCCTTTTAGACCGTGTACGCTTTTGCTTCTGCTTTATGTTTGCAGCACGTAGATCGCTTACTTCTTTCTCAAGAATAGCAGCTGATTGCATACCAATTTGGCACGCCTTAAGAATCTGATTTATCGCGGTATTAAGTGGACTTGGTGGGCTTCTTGATCTCGTACGGAGCAATGCTTTAATTGATGAGGATTGCTTTTGTAATTGCATGTAGTTCAAAGGTGTTTTTGGCTCCCAATCACTACCCCGGCTTCCGGGGGGGGGGGTGTCACGGGCTCGGAATAGTAGATAATAACGAACTGAATTCCTATCTAGACTATTGTAGCCATCAACGAGAATATCGAATCTGGAGAAGAAAAGAGAAGAGGAAGTCTATCTAGGTAATGAAGGGGTTTTATAGAGGTTGTTGCCGACATGGTTGAGTAGCAGCATTTGCGATGTATCATTCATTGCTGCAGTGTTGAGCCGTCATATATGAGCCGTCATATATGAACCGTCATATATGAGTCGTCACAGGGGGTTGGTGTACGAAGCCGAATATTGAGCTTTGAAAGCACCCGATCAGGGTCAAAAGGCACTAAACAAGCTGCTGCGAAGCTATTTTTGATAGTCTCAAATTTAAATGCTTTGATTCGTGCGTATGGGTAGGCCTCAAGGAAGTCTAATTTGTCAATATGGTTGATCCCAAGGCGCATTTTGGTTTCAACCAATCCACTGTATGATCGCTTTAACACCGCAAAACAACCGATATCGAGCGGCTGTAAAAGATGCGATGAATGCGCTGGCATGCAGATTGGAATAATATCATTTTGACTGCAAATCTCATCAAATTTTGGTGTCAAATGGCTACCATGGCCGTCAAGTATCAAAAGTCGATATTTCCCTTTCGTACGAGCGATTGTTGATGGAATAAAAAGATCTTGAAGCCACCGAAGCCCAATATCATCAGAAGTCCATCCATTTGGGCTCAATTCAAACAACCAATCATGTGGCAAAGCTGAATCTTCAAACCAAGCTTGTATAAAGACCTTGCCTTTAAAAATAATACATGGAGGTAAGGCCAACCCTGTTGCATTAATTGACTCAATTGCAGTAACCCATTCACGATTTCCAGGCTGTAAAACAGCTCGCCGACCATAGTATTCAGCTCTTGTAATAACTTTTGCAGTTGCAGTTAAACCCATTGCAAAGCCAGTCTCATCAAAGTTGTAGATATCATCATCAAGGATCCCATATTGAATGATTGTATGTTTTATACAATCAAACCACTCCTGGATGATCTTTGGATCTTCACATTCTGCACGCTCATAATTGTAGCGCCTTGAGAAGCAAGTTGAAAGTTCTGGATGTCTTTTCACAAACTTTGAGACCCAATTCTCACCAACTGTTTGAACTGGGGTAAATCCACGCGATGCAAGCAGAAGATTGGCCATTTCTCGTACAGCAGTAGGCCGAGGTGCTGCTCCACGAGAATCCATAGAGAGTATCCATTGTAGAAGTGTTTCCTCCTCAGTTTCTAACAACTTATGGCTATTGGCGCGTGTTTCAGCGCGATTTGTGTGGCCTTTTAGACGGCGGCGTAGAGACGTCTCTGGCACATTAAAACGGCGTGCTGCTTCGCGAACTGAGCTGATTTCTTGTTTTTTGATAGCCTTTATAGCTAATAAAATCCTACCCTCCTGCTCTATTGAATTCCGGGAGCTTTGGGAGCGAATTGGTGGCATAGTGGGTGATTACAGAAGGAAGGGTGTGGGAGAATGATGCATTTCGCGTTAGGTGCGCCGCTCGGTGGTGTGCGCCACTCGGTAGTGGATTACGTTAAGTGGAAAAGGGAAGGTCGTCGTGAAAGAAGTTCAAAGAGATAAAAGGGGTACAAAGTGCATAATGCATGTATGCAGTAGTAATAGTCAAAGGATGCTGGCTGCATAGTCGTATCCATCCATGCATATGCTCGGGCATCAGTAAGTCAAACGTTTAGGGTAGGCGGGAGGCTCAGGCTCTGATTAGTCAGTCGGAGCAGCAAGCATAACGTTATCAGACGTTCGGCATATACGTAAATCAACACCATGGTAATGCGATGCCCGTCCTTCTCACTGTTATTAAGGTCCAGGTTCCCATTAGCCAATCAGTATATTACTCAGGAAGAAGCGAAGTCAGTAACAATCTGCCGGAAATTGGAGTTTGTCCGCTGATGCTGGAAGGCCAGATAATTTGCGTATTCAGTGGTGCTCTGGAAGACCTTCACTGGCCTTCAGCGGTGATACCCCACGCTTGTCTTGAGGCGAAAAAAAACCCTTGAGCCGGATAGAACAGGCCTCAGAAGAGTCCATTTCCAAAACGCTTTCCTCGTCACTTGCTCACATTTGTGATTGGCTGCCATGACTTCAAATTTCTCGAAGGTACCCAAGACCCGTACCACAGCTCTTGTAGAGTTAAAGGTGCGAGCGAGCCACTACTGTCATGACACAGATTGTAATTGTTGTGTCCCTTCCTGGGCCACGTCAGCCTACATGTTGTGGGGAGGATGCCATACCGTGAATGGTTCATCGTAGTATCAAATCATTGGATGCTCGAACATCGTAGTTTTTTCTCTAGGTTAGTAATTTACTGTACCGTATGTCAGAGGTCGACGGCAGGTAAGGTTGAAATGGAACGCGAAAGAATGTGTCTCATGAGGGACAGAGGGATTGTCTCGGTTTAGTAGCCATGGGCAGTAACATGAGACCCGAGCTTATCATACAAAGAGCACGGTCATGACGCTAGCAGTAATCGAGCGAGATTGCCATTTGTAAGTGCTGTATGTTGTGTAACAAGCCGGTCTTTATATGAGATAGTACCGGATGGCCAGCAGGCAAGAAGAATGCAACGATGGAGTAGTCAAGGTGTTTATGGAAGTTGGGTTGCCAGCTACGGTAGTATGCAGCGCATTCACCACTAGCCATGATATATACAGTAGATCGTGTATCCATATTAGGAAAATAGTATTCACTAGGTAAAAGCGATAATAAAACGGAATAAAGAGAAGTGAAGCTAACTACCAATCACACAGTCACGCATGACGCGTCTAGTACACAGGAATCTTGAACGCATCGAAAGAATAGGTCCAGCTGTCAATCGACTCCTGGTCGTTAACACAGCTGAATGACGAGCTGTTACCCTTCCACAATGGACGAGTAGGCCACTGGCACAGCATCTGCGTCTCACCAGCATAAGTACCAGAGGAAACAGTCGCGTTGAGACGAGAGGGCTTGACGCCGTTCTCGACCCAGTTGATGATGGTCTCCATGTTGTTCTGTGGGTAGGGGCCGGGCTGGAGAGTGTTGCTACCGCAGTGGGCCGCACCAGGGATCAGGTAGAATTGGTACCAGTCCTCGAGGGCCTCGAGGGATTCTTCCTGGGTCAGGTTGCCGTACATGACAGAGCGGACGGCTTGCCAGTAGTGCACGGAGGAGGCGGCGGGGATGCTGGGGTCGGATTCACCGTGGTAGTGCAGGAGCTTCCCGCCAGAGGTCTTGAAGGTCGTCAAGTCAGGGTAGGTGGTCTGCAGGCTGTCCATGTACCGCACCATGCCGATGTTCATCCAGTCGACGAGGGTGTCGTAGGTGACACCATTGAGGTCGGAGAGGTTGTCAATGTTGAGAAGCTGGACGAATTTGGTCACGTACTCGCCGCCGGTGGACGGGATGCTGAGCTCCCACTTGCCAGTGTCGTTGTTGTACTCGGTGGTCGCGTCGCTGAGCTCAGAGCCGATCTGCCACGAGAGATAGGCGCGCTCGCCGTTCGAGTTGTGGAGACCGTCGTAAATAGCCTGGGCAACGGCTACACCTTCAGCAGTCACAGTGCCATTCTGCTCAGGCTGGTAGCTGGTCGTGCTGCCCTCAGCTCGCTTGCTGAAGCCAAATCCGAGGGAGGTGCTGGTCTCGGCGGCGCAGTGGTACGACTCGCCAATGATCGAGGTCAGGTTGAAGCGAAGCTTGCACAAATCGGTCCGGGAGATGACACCATCAGTCCGTCCGTCGAGAGGGTCACAGGCGGCGATGGTGGCGTTGACAATCTTGTCCAATTCACAGGGAGGGGGGTAGTAGTCTTGCGTATGTTCGACGGCGGAGGAATACACATGGTGAACCTGTTGCTGGCCGAAACGGAAGGCAGGGGCACCGGTAATGGCACCATCGTACTCTTCACCCCAGCGCTGCACCTGACTCATACCCTCACGACCACCGTCTGAGCATCCCTCGTAGTAGGTGTAGACCTTGTCTTCCGTGCCATAGAATCCCTGGGTGAGAACCTTACCCAGCTTGGTCATCTCACCCAATGCCTGGTAAGCGAACATGTATGTGGCATCCCAGTTGATGGATCCGTTGCCGTAGAGAACCACCTCGTCGTAGCTGTTGCTGAACGCGTCGTAACCGGCATCGGTAGCACCACCAACAGCACCATACTCCAGACCACCAGTGGCATCGCTGGAAAGAGAGAAACCACCGCCACCGGCAACGTAGAAACGAGAGTTAAAGTCGGAAGGCTTAGGGAAAGCGTACTTGATGACGACCTTATCGCCCTTGCCGGTGTGGGTGTAGGCGACGGTGACGTTACAATAGGTGTAGGTCTCGGTGCTGCCCATACCAGCAGAAGCGTTGTAGACGGCGCCGGCCGTGACGGCAGAGGGGATCATGTCCATGCCCAAGAGGGTCCCATTGGCCGGCAAGGCCGCACGCACATTGGAAACGGTACAGACATCGGACAAGGATTTGGCGTTGGCAGCCGTTGCCAGAGCGGCAACCGCAGCGCCCCGAGAGAAACGCATGGTGCAAGGAAGAATGTAGGGAAAAGATCGTACTCTGCTCTGAGAAAAAAGAAAAAGAAAGAATGTCCTGGCAGGAAATGATAGTCGACGTGCTGGTCGACGGTGACCTTTATATCTTCTCCCTGGCTGCTGGAATTTGAGACGATCTAGGAACGACCATAACCTAAATTGGCGACTGGCGAGTCGTCATCCGTGGCTTCGTCTAGTGAGGAAAACATCCTATATCGGAGCACGGGCATGAAGCAGAATCGTCGTATGAATTGTGGCGAGGGAGATGAGCTGTCGGCGTGGTTCCGCAATCTAGCCCAAACTGTCTGCAGAGAGCATCGTTTCTCCTGACTAAATTCTATGAAGAATTCTCACTTTGAACCACCATATTTCGAGCATGGGGGCGCAAGGCGGTTAAAAACATACCCGGGTGTAGATTAAGTGGAAACAACCGCGTCATGGCCCCTGGCCAAACATCAGCCCTGGTGACGCGTATCTTTCCAGAGCCGGTGAAGAGATATAAACAAGCTTATTCGGGCTCAGCCCTACTGCAGTCACCAGCGTTATCAACCCGCATCCGGCAGTGTTGACGAGTTTTGATATTCGGCGTGGAAGCGGAGGATACAAACGCTTCCACTCCGAGACTTGGCACTCGGGATTGACTGGGTGGCTATATGTTAGCTAGCACTGTCAATATAGCATTTATTAATGTAGAATGACATACATCTTGGTTCAGATATAGCATAGGCTACTGTATATAAGAGCCTGAATCTGTGTCTTGTCTACAGCCACGGCGGATGAGATTACCCAAGGCGGTCACCGCCTACGCTAATTCTGCCGACATTTCCCCGATAGTCCTTTGATCGTCGCCCGAAAATTTAAGCAGAGCCTAATTAGGTCTATTTTTACCACCGCTATTACTCCGGAGTACTCTGTACACTAGAATAGAACTGACATTGATAGAAAAGGTGGGAAGCTGTAGAAGCACGCGAAGGATTTGGTGCTCTACCACCTCGCCGTGTCCATACATCTCAGCCCTATCTGCTATCCATACCATTAGTGAGGGATCATGTCTCACGTCAGACTCTGGTCAATTTCACAATAATGTTCTTCTGACGAACAAACCAGGCGTTGGTTATTTCCCACTCAGCACTTGGGTCCAGTAGTTGAATCTGCACTGGTTGTTAGTAGTATACGGCAAATTGGGACAAGAACACACGTCATATGTGAGAAGCAGTGATGGAATCAGCTTGTATATTTCCAACAAACTGATATTCTTCCCGATACAGGTCCTCGGTCCCGCCCCGAAAGTTAGCGTAGCTCGAATCATCTTCTGTCGGCGTTCTTCGAATGCTATTGCGGATTCGTCCTCTGCTCGTAGCCATCGCTCCGGTATAAAGTCCTCTGCCTTGTCTCCGAACACTGAATGGCGATGAATGATCCACGGATTAGCTCCTACAATAGTCCCGGGTGGGAGCAATGGTCCGTTCGGCAGTTGCAGACCACCTTCTGGCACGACTCGCTCCAACAGTAGCCCTACTGCAGGATGGAGACGGAGAGCTTCTTTAATTACCGCGTCAAGGTAGGGCAGCTCCTGGCTCTGTTTCCAGGATACTGGTATTGAGATTTTGCCGACGTCGACGGCATCACGCAGCTCCTGGCATAATTTGTTCATAACCCGTTCATCCTTCATGGTGTAGTACAAGATAGCCCGGAGGGATATCGCAGTGGTGTCTGATCCAGCATTCATGTTGCTAACAGTGTATGAGAACACCTGGGCATCATCGACGACTTTAGGCGAACGGACTTTTGCTTCGAGGAAGCGAGAAAGGAAATCCTTGCGAAACTCATCACTCTTGTGCGGTGATTGTAGCCGCTCACGCATGCGATCCCGAGCAAAGCGCGCAACAGCGCCTGTTGATCCGCCAGATAAGAACTGTCTTAAGGGATTTTTGATGAGGAAATAATCAAGCCACGGCATTTGGCCAATCTACCATCGTCAGATGGTTTCAAAGAAGAGCATTGCAGTCCTTACTTTTCCTGCGTAATCGAGTATCTTCTCCAACGATGCAATGATTCCATCTACATCACGTCCTTGCTCTAGGAAACCTAGAGGCTTGCTGTACGTCAATTCTCCAATCACATCGAAGGCATCTGTTCCGTCAGCTGAATTTCGAACATTGCGGTTGCATATCGACCCTACAATACTGCATCCAAACGGCGATATCACATCCTTTCCCATCCTCGACAAACTCATCCAGTCGCTTGAAGAGATTGTCGATTGTGGTATCAACAAAAGGCTCAAAACCTGTTAATGTACTCATCGAATAAGCTGATGTTATCGGACGCTTGATTGCCGCGTGAAAATCTTCGTCCAGCGTTGTGAAAAGCGTCTGTGTTGGTTTCCCATTGGCAAGTTGTTGCTGGACACGATAGAAGTTTGTCTACCAAACTTAGCCTCGGTCACTCGTACTTTGTACTGATTTGCCAACCTTGCGGAAACCCTTGTTGATGCCGTAGATTGTCTTCAAGACATCCGGGTTCCGTACGCTGACCACGTTTGGCCCGAGTCGGACATAGTCGCCATATTTCTGGTGCAATTTATGTAATGTAATATCCGGACGACCTCTAGCTACATCAACGAATCTCCAGAGGTTTGAAAACTTAGCAGCGAAAGGGCCTGGAATTGAGACCACACCTGGAGTGAAATAGTTACGTGCTAGGTAGACGAGGAGGGCGACTATGGTCAGACCCAAAACCTGCTCACTGGCAAGGCCTAATATGCTGAAAAGAAAAGCCATGTTTTGAAAAGTAGTCAACTTTCATCGATTCTGTATTCGTATGTGTTGATATAGACGGTATTATAGATGTTCATGGATCTTGAAAGAGGTCAAAAATGGTTATAATTTACGGATTTATAGACAGCTACAAGGCTTAATACGAAAACTACCGTATGAGTGCCTACAAATTATGACTTGCAATGTCTCTCTGCAGCGGAATTTCCTCCGCTGTCTGCTTGCGGGGAACCGCAAGCAAAGTTCACTATACCCGAACAACCATGAAGACTACACTCGGCTATGCCAGCATGAATATACTGTCACCCGGTAATTGCAATAGCTTGACTGAAGCGCATTTGAAGCGCAATTGGCGTTCATTTAAAGCTATATCACCTGCACCTCCATACATCCACTACCTTTTATTTCTATCGGCCACCGATTGTATATGTGAGGCTGCGGAACCCAGTGCTGGGATAGTCTCGAAAGCGTGAGCCTGTAAGAGTTAACATAATTTCGTCCCGTGATGAAGATCAAGATGCACCTCCTTTGCCGTGACATTTTTAGCGTCGTCGGCTGTGATTTCATTCGCGGGTTTGCTCAACACCTGCTCGGCTTTTGCTGCCCATTGGACCTGCTCAGGGTATTTTGTGTCTATTATTGTCAGCATCATCTGAAGAGAATAGTCGGTTGTAAGGATATACCCGGTGAGCCGGCCAGGTCTGTGCTTTGGTTGGTAATGAAGTTGATTTCGTCGTCCCTAAGCGGCTGTCCATCCCGCCGTCTTTGGTTGATCCGCTGGCGGAATTGGATCGTGTCCATATTTTCCATTTTAGAGCTTAGATGCGGAATTTTCAATTGATAATCGAGGGTCGTTGATATTCTCGATGTCTTGGAGTTCTCTATGGAGTGAACGCCAGATATATATTTGCCATGCAGCCACAAAATATCATATCACGATTGCGTTCGTCGCCACGTGGTCATAGAAGGCAATAAGCACTGTATAGTCCCTGGTAGATTAGACTGAGAATCCTCGTTTCAAGTAAGTGCCAGCCGTCACGGTGACGTGAATGCAAGATTATCGGAACTATAGTACGGGAACATTAAGGCTTGGTACCTAACGAGATCTTGAAACTATCTTCAGGAGTACCTCTTGCCGCAAATTATCCGGGATAGAGTGCTCTCATAGAGCTATATACGAGACAAGCAAGAGTTTCGTTGAAATGGGGACGACGAAGTACGATTTCCCTAATAGGAAATCCCTACGCGAGGCGAATCACGTGTCGTCATGGCCATCTCTGTTGTCTCACCCAAAGACTGCAACAACCTCGCCATCCTTACTAAATGCTTCACTCAACTGCCCAGCTTTAGGAGATTTGAGAAGGGTGGATGGAGAGGTTTGCTCATGTGGCAGATGCTCACGTTCCGGGGTGGTAAACGAATGACTGCGTCAGACTGATATTAGAAGACGCGTTCGTCCATATTTCATCCCAGCAACGCCAGTTTCCCTTTTTGTCCGAGGCCATTCGTTGATAGATTAGGTGAGAGTCCATCCCGACGAATGGTATGATAGCTTTGGATAACGATGCGCGTCCCAACTATGAGCAATGCCGTGAGCAGCTCAAATGAAGACGGTTGTATGGAATATCCATAATAGCCACGTGCTATTGACGGGTAGTTTGTCCTACAAACCTTCATGACGAGCTGTCTGACATCAGAGAATGTTATGACTACCACGATCATATAGTGATTACTGAGAACACCCTGTACCTCGGGGTATGTTATCGGCAACTTGTTCGTCTGATATTGCAACTAATGTTCCGAATAAGCCAATCAAAGTGGAAGAGGCTCGCTTGCGAATGGTAATCGTCATGTGTTTCACAGCAATCGAATTGCTCCGGATTGCATATCCCCGTGACACATCGATCCAGTCTGTTCTTCAGATTTGACCAATCAAACCTGAAATGACCCTTTTCTATGCACGATAGAAGGGGTAATGGCTCCAATCGGGGAGTTTTTGAACATTCTCATTGACCAATGTCTTCGGAGGAAACAGCTGTGGTTCAAGGAACCCTCATTGGCATCCCCATTCGGTAACCCGAGAGAGATAAACATGTTGAGCTTGAAACACATGACCATGTCATCCTAGATAGCCAACGTTGGAACACCTCTCTACAAAACGGATCCCTGTTTCTGAACAACGTGGCTGACGTTGATTCCCTTGGTCTACGTAAGTGCGACAGCCTGTCTCAACCCCTTAATGTCGCCCATCCACTGGCATACTAAAGCTGTATACGTATGGAAGCATGGCTTGTTATGCTTTAAAGAGCCCGTGTTGCCACCTGATTTCTTCATCCCGTCGTAAGGGTCTACTTCATATAGCCTGAAATGGCGCCTCATCGTCTACTAGTATTTAGCGACCAATCTGCAAGTCCGTGTTCAACAATCAAGGAATTGCAACGACAGGCGCAAGACTCTCCAGCGCTATGCCATTTTCTCAATGCAACAGAACAAAGACTTCGATCCCAGTGGAACCGGGCGATAACAGCAGAGCGCGGATTACTTCGACAATTTGAATCCTTCTCAAGCCTGGTAGAACGATATACTCACCAGAAAGATGCGGTTGTGTCGGGCGTCCTTCATTGTACTGCTCAACTCGGATCCCTCATACTGTAAGCTTCTGGGTGATCAACAATAGAAGACTGGCCTTGCTGAAAGTCCACTCAATATAGTTTAGTTGAGAATGACCCTAGCATACTCACGGCATTCACCTCCGTTCAACTTCTCGGATTTTGCACCGGGTCGCTTCCTGCAGCAGCGGCTGCGACGGCGACATCTACTAAGCAGTTGTTGAAACTAGCCCCAGCAATTGTTTCGCTCTCGTTATACCTGTCTCTCGCAGCCCATAGACGGTCTTGGGCGATCGAGCCATCCAGCGATAGTTGGACAATGGTGGTGTCTAATATCACTGCAGAAACTGTTCGAGGCGAATTGAGGGGACTTCAGTCCATTAATGTAAGGCCTCACTACATTTAGTGCTGTCCGACTCTTCAGCTGACTTCAAAAGGCTTATCCTTCGCACAAACGAGCGTATATCAGCGCAGAAGTTGACTCTTTCGTTAGCATTAGTGGCCCGCCATCGACATTGGAGCTAGTAGCAGAGCATCTTCGCAGCCATTTCCATGACACTCCTATGAGGCTCCCAATTACTGCGGCATACCATGCACCACATCTCCCGAACCTCGAGTTGGATAACATGGTCCGGTGCGCTGAGGTCCCAGATTTACCTATTAGAGAAAAAATGACTTGGATATCGACCAGCGCTGGAGACCTGCATGATGCGCAGACATTACACAAACTTCTCGAATATGCTCTCCAAGATGTATTCCATAATCCAATCTCGTGGAACGAATCCCTTCAAACAATCAAGAACCTTGTCCGGGAAGAGAGCGTTAGCGTCTCAGCTGTTGGACCGACGAATCTGACTAAAGGATTTTGTCGGGCGTTGACTCGGGATGGCATAGACGTCAAAGAAGCTCATCAATATATAGAGACAGGATGCTCCATCCGCAATAAGTCAAATGATGTTGTTGTAATCGGCATGGCAGGCCGTTTTCCTGGTGGCAAAAATCTTGATCAATTTTGGAAGACTATCAGCAAAGGCCGCGATACGCATACGAAGGTTGAAGATTCTATCTGGGATGTCAGCTTGTGATTCAAAACTGACGAAGGCTCCCAGATCCCTCTCGATCGCTTCGATGTCGACAAGCATTATGATCCGACTGGAAAGACTAGAAATGGTACAGCTGCGCCTTATGGGTGTTTCTTGTCACGTCCTGGGGAGTTCGATACCAAAATGTTCAATATGTCGCCTCGCGAAGCGAAAACAGTCGATCCAACACAGCGTCTTCTCTTGACGACTGCATACGAAGCACTCGAGAGCGCAGGCTATTCGGATCATCAGGGATATCGCATAGGGACATTCTTCGGCCAAGCTACGGACGACTACCGCGAAACGAATGCAGGGCAGAACATCGATCTCTACTATATACCCGGGGGCATGCGCGCCTTTGGCCCTGGTCGCCTGAATTACCATTTTAAATGGGACGGCCCCTCTTACAGCATCGATACAGCGTGTTCCTCCAGTGCTGCTGCCCTGGAATTCGCATACAATGCTCTTATTACTGGGGATTGTGACATGGCTCTTGCTGGTGGAGGGAACATTCTGTCAGGCCCGCAGATGTTCGCTGGACTCAGCCGTGGGGGATTCCTTTCGCCGACTGGGGGTTGTAAGACATTCTCTGACGATGCTGACGGATACTGCCGCGGAGAAGGCGTGGGAGTGGTAGTTCTGAAGCGGTTGGATCGTGCTATCGCGGACGGTGATAATATCGAAGCTGTTATCAAAAGTATCGCGACCAATCATTCTGCCCAGGCGGCATCCATTACGCATCCCCATTCCCTGACGCAACAGAGGCTTTACCATAAGGTCCTGCAGCAAGCCCTATTTAGGCCTGAAGATGTGCAATACATCGAAATGCATGGCACTGGGACTCAGGCCGGGGATAGGACCGAAGTCGAGTCAGTAACAAATGTCTTCGGAAAGCGTCGTGATAGTCCATTGTACATCGGGGCAGTGAAATCGAATGTTGGTCATGGCGAGGGAGTATGCTATTTTGTCTAGAGTGAGTGCACCAGGTGCTGATCATCGAATCCAGGCTGCCGGTATTACTTCTTTGATTAAGTGCATCTTGATGTTGAAACATAATCTCATCCCTCCCCATCTTGCTATCGATGAGCAACTAAACCGTCACTTTCCACTGTTGTCAGAAAGAAATATACACATTCCTCAGTGTTCCCTGCCTTTTTTCCCGACCACTGAGTATGAAAAGAGGAGAATTCTCATCAACAACTTCAACGCAACAGTGAGTTAAGCAATCAGGTACAGCGTTTTGATCCGACATTAACCATCTAGGGTGGAAACACGAGCCTCCTGATTGAGGACCCTCCCCCTAGCAGAAAGCCCCCGGTGGAGTCTATGAGGTCCCATCATGTCGCCACAGTATCCGCAAAGTCGCGGAAGTCATTAGAATACAATAAACAGAATCTTGTGGATTATCTCTGTTCCCATTCGGAAGTTGGAATTGGAGATCTCTCTTACACCACGACTGCAAGACGAATGCATCACAACTTTCGAAAGTCTTACAGGGTTACAAATACCATTGAACTTATCAATACCATCAAGAATGACCTCGGAAATAAATCTTCAGACATACACAGGCCATTAGACCGCTCCCCGATTGTTTTCGTTTTCACAGGCCAGGGGTCACAATATCCAGGAATGGCCAAAGACCTTTTTGAGTCTTGCGAGAGGTTTAGAAAAAAGATACTCGAGCTGGATTCCATAGCTGTTAGCCTGCAGTTACCATCTTTCTTGGAAACCATCAGTACTGGAGGCCAGGCGATGCCATATCTCTCACCAGTGCAAACGCAGGTAGCATTGGTAGCTTTAGAGATCGCGCTTGTCGATTTGTGGAACTCTTGGGGAATAACCCCGGACATGGTTCTGGGACACAGTTTAGGCGAATATGCTGCTCTATGCACCGCAGGTGTATTATCGGTCTACGACACCATTTTTCTAGTGGGAAACCGAGCGCGTTTGATGGAGACCTTCTGCACACCCTATGAGCACGGCATGTTATTGGTCACGAGCGATATTAGTTCCGTCGAGAATTTTCTGAACAATGCAGGGCTCAAAACATGTGATATCGCCTGCATTAACAGCGCGAAAGCAACAGTTGTGAGCGGTCCTATGCAGGATCTTATTGCATTGAAAGACAGCTTAGGTCGTACTCGGTCAACCATGCTCGAAGTCCCGTTTGCATTTCATTCGTCTCAAGTCGATCCCATTCTTTCCGACTTCCATCGTCTGACTGCCGCCATCGAGTTTCATGCGCCTAAAATCCCGGTCGTATCAACCCTCACTGCAGAGACAGTCAAATCGCAGGGTGTATTCGGGCCAGAGTACCTCATTCGACAATCCCGGGAGCCAGTGAAATTCTTGCAGGCCATTGAAGAGTGCCGAGACTATGGAATTGATGAGTTCAGTGCAATGTGGCTCGAAATCGGTCCAAGTCCGGTCTGTTTGGGAATGCTGCGGTCAATTCAGTCGATAGAACCCGAAAGAATGCTTCCCACTCTGCGCCGCCAACAGAGTTGCTGGGATAGTATTACACATGTCTTGTCTTGTTTATACGACGCGGGGACAGACATACGGTGGTCTGAATATTTCAGGGAGCAATCGGGTGGTCTTCAGCAACTTGACTTGCCGACCTACGCATTCGATTTGCAAAACTACTGGATTCCATACGAGGCAGCCTCAGCGCTAGTAAAGTCATTACCACAGAGAATACCAACTGCAGGATTCATTTCAACTTGTTTACACCGCATTGAAGAGGAGACAGATGACAATGGTTGCCCTGCAGTAGTGTTCGTCTCAGATCTGACAGAAACAACCTTACTCGAAACAATCGATGGCCACCGTGTAAATGGACTTGGTTTGTGTCCAAGTTCCGTATATACGGATATGGCTTTAAGCGCGGCTTCCTATATGCAGCAGAATATAAAATGCACTTCGGCGTCGGAAGATCTTAGTGTGATGCATCTCAAAATAAATCGCCCGCTTGTCGTGCCACAAAGCTGCGACGGATACGATGTGAAAGTGTACTGCAAATATCTGGATGACAAGTCACACTTTGAAATTACATTTCGCTCACAGGCAGATAAGATGCCTCAAGAGCATGCGCGATGTATCGTCGAGCTTGGGCAGCATGCAAAATGGAAAGATGAATGGCGTCTCACGGCACATCTGATCAAGTCACGAATAACAGCCTTGTCGGATCACTCGAGGACGGGATCTACAAATCGCATCTTGAGGGACATGGTGTACAAGCTCTTTTCGAAGGTGGTGACATATGGAGAGCGATACCGAAGTCTCCTAGAGGTCTTCCTTGACAGTAAGGAGTACGAAGCGGCTGCCATTGTCCAGTTTTCAACGGACGAGCAGACAGATAACTTCACGATCAGTCCCTACTGGGTTGATGCAATCATTCATCTCGGAGGATTCTCCCTCAATGCACACCCAAACGTTCCCGATGACCTCGTTTATATATCCACTGGATGGGACCATCTTTGTATCGCTACCTCATTATCAACGGAAAAACAGTATACCAGCTACGTCCGCATGCAGGACTCAGGACATGGACAGTATATCGGTGAGGTTTATCTTCTAGAGGGCAATGCGATTGTTGCCATTTGTGCGGGACTGCGCTTCCAAGAGATGAAGATCAGTTCGTTGCATGCGATATTACAATCGACTGCCAAAGTGGCCACTCCTTCGTATGCCTCAGAATCTATGAGGAAGCAAGATACAGTCCCTAACAACCAGAATTCGATCATTCAGCCTTCTCATATCCTACACTCGTCTACAGAGTCCGTTCTCAGAAAAATCCAATCCATCATCGCGGAGGAGATAGACATGGATTCCAGCAATATATCGGAGAACGTGAGATTCGAAGAATTAGGAATCGACTCCATTCTACGAATGCCCATTATATCGAAAATCCAGGAAGAAATGAACATTTATCTCTCTTTGTCTGCTTTTGATGATTATCCCACCTTGCTTGCTCTTCGAGGACATATTCAAGATATCCTTGGGATAAGCACCAGCAACGGTTCAAGCAACGGTTCAAGCAACGGTTCCAGCAATGTGTCATTGTCGATGAGCGCGATCATTACTTCTACACCATCAACCCAGCATGAAAGCATATCGTCAGAGACACGAATTCCTCCGTCAGAAGCTGCTGCAACAGAAAAACAGTTCCATAGCCGATCGATCTTCCTATCCGGAAGCCCTATTCACGGTGCTCCCATACTATTCTTGATGCCCGATGGCGCTGGTTCTCCGTCTTCTTATGCCATGCTTCCGACACCACCTCAAGGAACCGCGGTTTACGGACTCGAGTCTCCATTCTGTCACAAACCAGATAAATGGAACTGTTCGTTCGACAAAGTGGCGACTATGTATGTGGATGCTATCCGTAAGGTCCGACCACATGGCCCATACATGCTCGGAGGGTGGTCTTTGGGCGGGTTACACGCGTATGAAGTTGCGCGGCAGCTGGTCATAGATGGGGAGAGGGTCTGCGGTCTCCTCTTAATCGATGCTCCGAACCCGAACTTTCTGGGTCATATCTCGCATCCCGTTGTCGAGCTGCTTGGAGATACCGGTATAATGGCAGCAGCCGAGCGGGCTAACGAAGGAAAGGCTCTAGAGTTGGAACGCGCTAAGGATCATATGTGCAAATGCGTTGAGTCTCTCAAAGACTACTTTCTTGCTCCAATGGAGCCAGAAAATCAGCCGGACCATGTATTTGCTATAACGGCAGCACATGGCATCGAGCAGTCGATTGACAAGCTCGTGGAGGACCCCGAAGTAACTATGGCAAGCAGCAGCGAAGTGCGTCAATTGCAACGATGGATGAAGCAGCGAAATACGCCGTTCGGTTCAAATGGATGGGATCGGTTACTGGGTGAGGTCGACTGTCATGTTGTGGAAGGGGACCATCTCTCTATACTCCGTCTTCCTCGGGTGAGTGCTCAAATTTCGTTCAATTTTGTCTTTGTCTAACATATATCAGGTCGAGAAGACTGGACAGTTGGTGTCAGAAGCCGTTAACCGGTTTCTAAAACGAGACGTACCATCTTTAGCATAGCCTAGACTTCATATTTTCGGACTTTTTTACAATACTCATTAATGCCGTTATCCTATATCCATATCATAACAATGTTTCATAAGGGGTATAAAATAATATATATAAGATCGTACATTAACGCCACATTACTTCTGAGATGCGCCACCACGAGCAGCCGCCGCATCATACAGGGCCTGAATATCGGCCTTCCACTGCTCCTCGTCGACTCGCTTAATGCGTCGGTCATAGGTCATCAAGCCGTTAACTTCGCCCTCAACGTCGGTCGTCTGGGTCCAGACACCACCACTGCACGCGTACCGACGAACCTGATCCTCCAGTTCGCTGAGCAGGACGTGGCTGCGGTAGTTCCATGCTTCGATGGTGGTGTCGATTTCGTAGGTTTGGTTGATCGAGTCGATAGCTCCTTGTTCATGCCAGAGACTGGAAATGGTTAGAAAAAAACGAGATGTTTGGTAAGAACGGTGGCTTACTTTTCAATGGTGACGTTGTTACCAAGTCCTCCGAATTCACCCTGGAAGCCGATCCGACTCGGGTCGTATGGGCTGGAGTCCGTAGAGTAAAACGGTGTTCCGCATTGTGGGTTGGCGTAGTGATGGTTGTCCTGGGACTGTAAGCTTCCAGACCGTAAACGGGATTTCAAAGTCAACTTGCGCTGAAGTCACCGGCACCATGGTCAATCCAGCCCGAGGTTGAATCAATGAGTCGCGTAGGATCCAAAGTCTTGACGCGTTCCGTCAACTCAAATTCAGGATAGTAGTCGGTGATCTGACCCCAGCCTTCGTTGTAGATGACCTGGGACTCGTTAGAACTAGAATAAGAGTGCCCATGTTTGGCATGTACTCACCCAGGTGACAATACTCGGGTAACTCCTGAACTGGTTGACCATGACTTCCAATTGAAGGCCGAATTCCGTTTGCTGCTGGTCGTCGGCCAATAGCCTGGTCTTCTTGCAGTTCGAATCGGTCCTTTCTTGCAACGGCCTCATAGAGGGCATATCCTGGATGACTAGGAGGCCTAGTTCGTCACATGCCTGATAGAACAAAGCCGGCTCGATCTTGATATGTTTCCGGACCATGTTGAAGCCGAGGTCTTTGAGAAACTTGAGGTCATAGACCATTGCTTCGAGAGAAGGCGGCGTGTAGAGCCCGTCTGGCCAGTAGCCCTGGTCGAGCGGACCGAACATAAAGACAAATTCACCGTTAAGCAGGGGTCGGACAATGCCGTCAATCTTTCCCTTCGAGATAGTTCGGAAGCCGGTGTAACTCTGGACTTGATCATTTCCTAGCCGAACGGTGACGTTGTACAAATTAGGCGAGTCTGGGGACCACAGTTTGGGTTCGGAAACTTTGAACACGAATGGTTGATCCGATTGTCCCGTGTGAGAGGCCACTTCATCATCGCCATCGTATACCGTGACCTCGACAGAGGTGGCGTTTCCACTCGCGCTGTGGACGGTCACGTTGACTAGTCGTATCGAGTTAGCATTGGTCATAGACTCCGGTTAGGTTGTACACACCTTGACCATCCATATTAGCATCTAGATCTAGCTGTGTGATCCAATTTGACGGAGCTGGTTCCAGCCAGACACTCTGCCATATGCCGCTGCAGGGCGTGTAGAAGATGTGGCTTGGATTCAAGGTCTGCTTGCCAATCGGAATGACGTTTTCGCCGTCATCAGTAGGATCGTGGACAAACACCAACCTAGAGTGTCATTAGCTGCAGATCAATTTGTTGAAACAGGGATGGATACTTACAATTCATTTTTCTCGTTCGAAGACAAGTAATCCGTGACATCAACTTCAAAGTGGAAATAGCCGCCCCGATTGAAGCCAGCTTTCTTCCCGTTGACAAAAACGGTGGCTTCATAGTCCACTGCACCGAAATGCAGAAGTACGCGCTGACCGTTCCACGACGACGGAACGTCGAACTTGGTCGAATACCATGAATAGAACATGTCCTTTCCCTGGATACCTTTTTCGTATAGTTAGCGCATGCTGTATAGAGCAAATAATCCCCAGGAGAACGTACCGGAAAGCGCACTCTCCAAGCACGACGGCACGAGCACCTCATTGGCAAGGGTCTGGTTCGTTGGTGGCTGTTGCACTGCGTCCAGACTAGATGCGTTCTGATACTGCCAGACACCATTGAGGTTCTTCCACTGCGTCCGCTGCAGCTGCGGACGGGGATACTCGGGCCAGGGGCTGTTGCCAACCTCCTCTGTCCATGGCGTATCCAGTGGAGATTGCTTCACAGCATATGGCGTACTGCGAGCCGTGTTCTGATGATACGCATTTGGAATGCTGCGAGCTGCAGCAAGAGCCCCCAATAAAGGGGCAAACAGACTGTATGAAAGATGCATGTTGCCGTACGGACTGGGGTAGCTCCAGAGGTGTCGACATGCAAGTCAAGATTGAAAGAGGAGACGGCCAGTCCTCGAGGGGCAGTCGGCTTATATGGGAATGCATCTATCTTCTATCCTGGGCACCGCTCCGAGCCAGCTCTTGTCGAGCCAGCAAACATGTAAGGGTGATTGGCCGGCCTTACGGATTACTCGACTAATAGCCCACCATCCCCCGCACCACTATGCTAGGCAATGTGATTTGTTTTCTCGTCCAAGAGTGTGAGATCCACCGAAGTGACTTCGGAACGAGAGGAGGGCGATGCAAGGACAAAGCCCCGGTCAGGGAGAAGTCCCGAGGGCGGAGGATTGAGTCCACAGGGCCCATAGGCGTAAACGAATTTCAAAAAAAAAAAGCGAGAGAATAAAAAAAAGGCGCATAAAACCCGCTTGGCGTAGCCAACGAAATAGGCCATTTTGGTGCTCTACTGCATATGCAGCGAGTAAGATTCTGTCCGCGGTCCTTGCAGGGGAGTAAGACTGGCGAACCACGGATAAGCACATACCGGCCCAGGCCAGGAACGGAGAAAACGCTTCTCGCCCCATGGAAAGCCCTCACCGCCGCTCAATCGCCCATTGTTGAGACTGAGATCCGTCAACAATATCCAGATCGCCCGTCCGGGGGATCGTCGAAATACGGTGATGTCCACACAGAATTCCCCTCTTCGGCCCAAAGGGAACCACATAGTTTGGGGCACGAGGACACTTTCCTAGGCAAATCGAGTCGAATCATTGCGGGCAGTGATCTTATTGGCGTTTGGAACCCCCGAAGCCATGAAGAATCTCCCAAAGTCACGGGGAAAGTCACGGGATACCACCTGCCGCATCTGGAATGGTGACCGGCGAATTAGTCGGGGCACTGTGATTGGGCAGAAGTGCCAATCTCGGTCTCTCATTGGCTGTATCTGCATTGCCGGTAGAGCTTGGCACTGTACGGAATTCCCTTTTCGGACAATCCTCGGCACTTGTTGATATCAAATGCAGTCTAGAGTCCGGAGAACGAAAATCGAAAATGGCCGGACAGAATCAGTTGACCGGAATACCGTGTGAAGATTCCAGTCTATGATGAAATGGAGCTTGTGATAGAGCAGCGAGAGAGACATCGGAATCTCTGCTCCATTGCATCTCGACTCTTGTGTGATCTCTATCGGGTTCGGCCGCGATCAAATGCAGCTAATCGAGGACAGACTCGAGGCTGGGGCCCCCTGGTGACACGCTTCGTGAAGACTCGACTCAGCCGCAGCCTGCGTTTATTTCAAGGGTCTTACGTGAGACGCCCGGCCAGCTGTACAAGTACACAGGAATAGAGTCTGCATTGGTCCGTGGCAATGCATGCAAGCCTCACACCACCCTTCGGAGTGTCGAGAGCTAGTGCTCATAGACACGGGATATCATGTCATAGCCAGTATCCTAATATTTCCGTAATTTCCGAGAAATACAATCCTCTCCAACTACGAAGTGCACTACGCACTTTCAAACACCCGACAGTGCAGTCACCAAACTACGTCAAATATAGACATTTGGTTGGGTTTAGGTGCACCGGTACTTCGTAGTGTACCGCAGAGCCGCCGGGTAAGGCGATGTCCACATACTACCCGTCGGTCTCGGTCTCGCGGCAGGAACCACGGGCCAGTTTCGCAACCCACTGAATATCAACCCGGCCCGTTTATTCCGCTGCGCTGCCCAAAAACCATGCTGTGTGCGGTGGGTTCGATCTGGCTCCCAAAGTAGAACATGTGTTCGTAGGAGATATTGTGATGTTCGCAAATGCGCAATGTTCAGAATTGTTGAAGGGGAAGCGTTTGCGACCCGACGTTATGTTTTAAAATCGACCTACATTATCTTCCTCTTCCTTGGAAGGTGGCTGTCCGAGTCAGGCCAGATATCCGTCCATTGTACTCACAGGAAAGGGGGTCCTGTGTGGGCCTTAGAATGACCACGATGCAAAGTTGGTCGCCATTGGTCGCCCGTCGCAACAATGGTGTTTATTTTCTGGATCAATGGTCCTACAAGACCGTAGCTGCGGCTGTGATTAACGGAGACAGCTATCCGCGTTTGGCCTGTCAAGGCGACTACCGGTTGGGGAAGCTGTAGCAGGCTAGCTATTGGCACACTCCGCGTGCTTATCTGGTGTCGAAGCTGCCGTCAAGAAGGGTCCGTGGGGCCGTCAATCACCGACGGGCCGAGATCGGGCCAGTGAAAGGACACGGTCTGTCCGCAGACTACGAGACTAACCTCGTCCCTGCATGTTGGCAGCTCGTCAGCTTGACGCTTGCTGAAGAAGTGGCGGGTAGATGGGTTTTGCCATGGACACTAGCCGGAGTCTGTATATTCCGTGACATAGGGGGTACACCGACCATGATCTCTCCTTGCTCAGGGCTTACCTTGCTACACGGCATTCAGACTTCGCCCTCGGCAAGACCTGGCCATCGTTGTCTATAGAGGTATCGTCAATGACCCTGGAACCGTGTGCGTTTCTGATCTTAAATAAGCGACAGCTAGGAGCCAAACCTGCAGCCCACAGCCAAGCAGATTGCTCATCACGATAATCACCCTTGCAGCTCAGCTGAGGCTGACCGACTCGAGGAATTGTACAGAGTATGCTGTGGCTGGTTGCGCATGGAGGGGGTAAGATATTGACGTCATAATCACGTGAATCACTAGACCGGATCCGGTTAGCTCTACTCACGCCATCTGAGTTGGACTTGGTCAATTCCTCATCCTCCGCGACAACCTGCTTGACTTGTTGAGACAACATTGACCATGGCTTCAATTCTCCCCCAGACCGCTTTCCGCGCCCTTAGGGCCCTTCCCCGGGTTGCCTCTGTCCCCCGGACCACTGTCCGCCCCGGTATCTGGACGCAGCTGCCCCGCGCACCGCAGCCCCTCACCCGCCGTTTCGTCTCCAACATCCCCCAGGAGCAGCCTCGCTTGCGTCTGGGAGCTACTGGTACGTGCCAGGAAAACGAATTGTCTGTGATTGGTGAAGCTGGAACACTGACGAGTTGGCAGCCCCCAACTTCACGGCCCAGACCACCCACGGCAACATTGACTTCCACCAGTTCATCGGAGACAGCTGGGCCATCCTCTTCTCCCACCCTGCCGACTTTACCCCCGTCTGCACCACCGAGCTGGGTGCTTTTGCCAAGTTGAAGGATGAGTTTGAGAAGCGCAACGTCAAGATGATTGGTCTGGTATGTGGATACATTATTGCGGGACGTGCGGATTACGCACGGTTGTACTGTTCTGTGGGCTGACTGGAAATACTGTCTAGAGTGCCAACGACCTCAGCTCCCACGGTGAATGGGTCAAGGACATCAACGAGGTCTCCAGCACCAACCTCCAGTTCCCCATCATCGCCGATGCTGAACGCAAGGTGGCCTTCCTCTACGACATGATTGACCAGCGGGATCTGGACAACATTGCCGAGAAGGGCATTCCCTTCACCATCCGGTCGGTCTTCATCATCGACCCGAGCAAGAAGATCCGTCTGACCATGATGTACCCGGCCTCGACCGGCCGTAACTCGGCTGAGGTCCTGCGTGTGATCGACTCGCTGCAGACGGGTGATAAGAAGGGCGTTGTGACCCCGATTGACTGGCAGGCTGGTGACGATGTCATCGTCCCTCCGTCTATTTCCACCACCGATGCGGAGAAGAAGTTTGGCAACGTCCGCGAGCTCAAGCCGTACCTGCGCTTCACCAAGGCTTAATGCAGAAGCTACTGTAAGATAGAAGCTCTCAAAATAGTAATTCTCCAATATATAGTGGATACTAGAAACTGTATCCCGTGTGTAAACATTTAGTCGTTGGCAGCGTGAGTACAGGACACCGGTGCGGATATATACAACGGACCAAGTATATGTTCCGGAGTGCGACACCACTACAGCATGAAACCATTGCCGGGAGCCATCATTGAGGATTGTCGCCAGTGGACCAGTACAGGCTCCTGTGATATCATCAGTCATAAACTCGTTGAGCCTCTTGCACTCGACTATCGAAGTCTTCTGGGACATTGACCGCACAGGAGATGAACGATCATTTCTCGGTACGTATTATTTTGGACTCCCGAGCTACATTAACAAAGAAAACTAATTGGTACAAGAACATATATACAATGACTGAATATAAACCAGGAATAAGATTGCAGAAAGAGGGTAATGGGTAAGGAACGTCAATCCCAGAACAAGGGAATCTTTTTTTTTCTCCTCTTTTCTTTCCCCCTCTCTTTTCCTATCGATTATCTGTTGTCACTGACGTAGACATATCGACCGTCTTCATGATTCCCATCTGATCACTCTGAGGTGAGCCCTGTCTGTCGGCATCGCCCATGACCGACGTCTCGATTCTCGGGTTCCCCTGCGCATTGTACATCAAGACGTCCTCGTCGTCCGTCAGCGTAGCCAAGCCGTGTCTGCTACGCTCGGTGCGACTCTGGCCGTAGCCCTTGCTCATTTCGTAGTTCGAAGGGTATGTGGTCTTGTTGCTGGAGTATTCGCGGTGGATTGTCGTGACGAGGGCAGAGAGGGCGGGAAGGCAGGCGCAGATGACTCCGATCGCGATTTCGGCGTTACTAGAGAGAGCGATCAGTATTTGCTATGGCTCGATGCAGGTGGAGGAGTTACTCACCCAAACATACTGATCCGAAGGAAAGACATGGTCACGTCGGGGGACTGCCCGATGATCTCGATCAAAGCAAGGCGGACGATACTGCAAGCAACTGCTAATCCGCCAGCACCCAGCATGCCCATCACTCGCATCTTTCGATCTGTGGGCATTTGCAGACTGAGCGTCAGCGGAAGGGGAAGAATAAGTACGATTAGATCGCTGACTACACTGACGACAGCATCAGCCAGGATGATAGCCGTTTGATCCAGACAGGTGCCACCGTTGTCAGGGCTCCAGAACGTGGAGATGGGCTTGCAGATGCAAATCTTGACAATAACGGCAGGGATATAGTATGCCAACATGACGCCCAGGAAGATGTAGATGAAGATGACGGCTTTGCGGTAGGGACTGAAGACACGGGTCATGATCCAGAGGAGGGAGAGCTTGGTGAGATAGGCTGTTGGGCCGTACATGACCATGGTCACGTAGACGGTCTTGTCATGCGCGGTGAGTATCTGCGAAAAGGATGGATGGTTGGCAGCGTACCTTTTGGAATGGGATGAGGTTCTCTTCTGGCACGTCGGGCTTGTGCATACCACCTCCATAGCTACCCACTACTATCGTCAGTCCGGATTCGGGATGATCGGGACTGATGACTTACTGATAAGGGAGACAATAGAGTAACCAACACCTAGTATCTGCTCTTCTTAGCATTACAACCCAGTAGAATATCAGTAGCGATATTGAGCCCTACCCATGCTCCTAGACATGTCCCTGGCCGAGTTAGCTATTGTACCAACAGCATGCTGAAATCAATCACCCACAGTCCTCTCTCCTAAAACCATTGAGAATGAACAACCGAGTGTATACCCGGAGGCCAAAAAAAATCGTCATCGCAGCAATACAGAGTGACTGTGTCGCTGTGTTCCACTGTTGCACCGATCTATCCACCGAGCCATCGCCCCGACGCAGCAGATCTGTGAAGCTCATCCTGAGAAAAGAGTGACACGGACAGCGTGGAACACGACAGAAACTCGATACTCTCGACAGAACCACAGACAAGCATTGGGGCTACCACGGACTCGGGAGGAAGGATTTTATTAGTACGGAGTTCAGACACCAGCGACTTGGGATCCTCTATCGATGGAATGTACCAACCAGCGCTGCGCCCAGCCGAACTATCAGGCAAACACCTGAACTCAAACTACCTGATGCATTAAAGATCATCATTTACCCCCTCCCCCTTCCCTAGGACAATCCGGTTGTCTTATGTCAGAGAACAGTCAGACCATTATCCCTAATGATAATAGCTTTCATTATAATCCTAGTACTTTGTAGCCTATAAATAATGTAAAGAATGGGTCCAGAAAGGTCCGTGATAATTATGATACGCGGACTGTTAGAGAAAGGGCTCCACGGACTCCCTTCTCCCGGGTCAAGATTCATCAGGGCGGGATGGGGAGTTGAATCCTTCGAGCACAGAAGGCTGCAAGCAGCCACCGACGCCACAGGGGCACACTCGCACACCGTATTGCCGTATTGATCTTCTTTATTTCGCATTGAAGCAAGTACAACTTCAAAGCAGTAAAAGCAGGCTCATCCCAGGGCAGGCTGCAAAGCATGGAGTATGCAATGCATGTTCCCGAACGGGAAATGAGATATAAACATAGAAACCGTACCTTTGCTCAGGAACTGCGCCAAGTTCAATCGGTTCGGTTTTAGTGGACCATAACGACCGGGCAAACCTTGTATAGTGAGAATTAGCTGTAAATGGCTGAGACTACACCGGGGACCGGGGTACTATGGAGCCCACACGGACCGGGACCCATATACCGCCCGTCTAACGAGCCCTGACTAGAGCCAATTAAAAGGTCCTAGAACCGTGCAGTCGAAAGGTTTTCAAAATTACTCAATCTGTTTCATGTGACTTGGCCGCAACGGAAAAATTTAGCTGCTGCGGGATTTCCAACACACAATGGTGTTGATCCCCTTGATCGAAGTTATCTAAAATTGCACTCGAAATCCCTGTCACGGTAATCCATCCCCTGCAACGCCAAATGGCTTACAGTGGCGTACAGTGGCGCGCAGATGCTTGAGATGGATCACTATAGTCCTGCGTGGCCGAATGGGAGAGGTCAAAGCCCCGAGACCAAAGCAATGGCCGCAGCTACGATTACATGCCGATTGGAGGCCCCGAACAAATACCGAGCGGACGAGTGCACATCATTCAACTTGTAATAATAAAAACCTGCCATTGTCTACAGACTAATGCAGGGCTTGACAGGGAAGTGATGCAAATGGCCCTTTTGGGCAACGTCTTCCTGCACGCTACTCGAAAAAAAGCTTTGATTTTCTGTGATCCTACCAGAAAAGCGAACTGCAACTACGGAGTACTGTTGCGGAACCTGCATTGGCAGGTCTAGAAAATGGCCATCACGTTCGGCGGCGACGACACTCCACCCGGCATGTTTAGCGGCACTGACGAGACAAAGAATGACCATCGTTGCTGTTCCTCGCAAAGCCGGGCTAACGCTTCGAGATCGAATAGTTCGCCTAAAGTGGGTAATGAGCGGCGGTACGTTTGCGCTTCCATTTACAGTTTCACTTACCAATGGGCATGCCCCATCCCGCCAGGACGTATTCGTGCAAGAAGACGTCTGGATTTTGCGGCGGATACACCTGTTGATTTCTGCGGTCAGCCATCCCATGCATCATGCAGGATTTAGTGTAGTTGTGGGAGACCTCTTTTTTGGGTCTCCATCAGGGAGGAACGCATTCGGTCTCGGGGGGAAGGAAGAAAAAGAGTTTCTTAGTGTTTACTGGCTTACCTCCCAGCTGATGGCATCTCCGGCTATGGCTGAAAATCCAGTGTCCCATAACCAGCGCAGGACGTCCGTAGTCGCTTCGACACCGGCGTGTTCCGGGGCCTTGTTGTCCGAGTAGGCTTTCTTTTGCTCGTCGGTCATGATCGTCTCCCACTCCTTGGTAACTCCAATGCGAACAAAAAGGACATCCCCTTTTTGGAATGTGATGTTACACTCCCGAGCTATTTCCAGGATATCGGACAATTTCACCTGGTGAGTGGAAAAGGTGCTATACGTGATCCCTTTTTTCGCTGCCCACGTCGCGTAGTCAATCAACACTCCGCGGCCGGCAATACCTTCTCGTGCCCAGTGCTGCAGACCGATCCGATCGTTGGTGCGGTCATTAATCTCGGCTGCGGTTGTACCACCGTAAAAAAGCCGTTCCGTTTGTCCAGGGACGGTCTGGGAGAAGTGCCGGAGGCCATCCCATTGACTACTTTGCTCTGGTTTGACATTGTATTAACTTCCGGGACAGCAGAAGACAAAGCAAAAGCTCAGCACTAGGACAATAGATCACCTACGGGGATTCATAGTGAAGATATCGTCAAAAGCCACGCCGCCAAGTAAGGGGACGATCTGATGGTGGCATGGTTGACGGTTCAGGTTGGGGTAATCCAGCTTCGTCATTTCCCAGTTCGTGGTGATTCGTCGGCCAGTTTTAATCTCAGTAGCGGCCGCCTTAGCCACTACCTCAGGAGTCAGGATGGCTAGCCTCCCTAGACCTTCCTCATAGCTACCCGGTTTGCCGACCCAGACCTGCCTGGGATTCGGCAACTGGTCGAAAGGAAGGTCGAACGGAGATCGATTGGCCATGGTGATAATAATGATCCGCAAGTTTGTGTAGCAGGAAAATGAGACAAGGAAAAATGTACTTTGAGAATCAGTTGTGCAACTTGGGGCCGGACGATACTCTCTGTACCACAGGGCGACTTCTTATGCTGTTACCCTCCGCTGTCATCGCTGTCAACTAAAAGTGGATAGCCCGGTCCGAGTAGCTAGTCTCGGAATGGTCGACTATCCCAATTCTGAGCGGACCCTCAGTCCCACAGCCACGGAGCATGGGCCACCTGTCCATCAAACTTTCTTTTTTCCGTATTTCCTGAAGAGCTTTCAATTTGCCGACGCAATTCATGTGCCGACTGAGTCGTAAAGTGGCCTCTCCTAACGGCACTGTCCTTTCGGAAGACCTCCCGTTGGGCAAACGTCGACGATCTCTACGACCGAGCCATTTAGAGACAATCCCCGTTGTCCGTCTCGCTTCTAATTGATGGTCAACCGGTGGATCCCCTAGCCTGACACTGCTGGCCCACCGGGCTTGCATTCTACAGCATGGCTGCCGGGGTTGTATGGTACGTGTATGCTCTCCTATCTCATATATTAAATACGCAAAAATCATCGGCCAAGCAAGCCAAGCAATCCCACATATTTCTCTGGCCTCGCTGCTTACTCGCCAGGTCTTCTTGAAATCTCATGATTTTAGGATTTTGTTAAGCCAGTCAGTCCATAATGGGAAGATTCGGGTCGCAAACGAGTTCCTACAATCGACTGGTCACTATCTTTGTGGCCATCGGGTCGTTGGTGAGCTATTTCTCTTTCATTATTTCTCAATCCTGTCCACATTGCTAATCCGAATCTCTATAGACCTACGGTTACTGCACTTCGATCATCAGTAGTACCATCGGTCAACCAGGATGGTATACCTACTTCAACCTGCCCGCCGAAGGAGAACCCGGATATGCGTCTATAACCACACCCGTCGTGTCGACAGCCAACGGAGTGTTTAGTGCTGGAGGAGCCGTGGGATCACTGTTTATGATGTGGTCTTGCGACTTCTTTGGTCGCAAAGCAAATATTCAGTTCGGAGCTTTCTTTTCTCTCTTCGGGGGTGCATTGCAGGCCGGTGCCAACTCGCTCCAGTATGTCGCCTGCCAGTATGATGCGATGTTATAGACAGTCTAACAAGTGCGACAGGATGTTCCAAGCGGGTCGATTTATCTGCGGTCTTGGCATCGGAATTCTCGTCACCGTCTGTCCCATGTATCTGTCCGAAATGGCGAGTGCCTTCCGTCGCGGATGGCTCGTCGGTCACCACGCCATCTTCCTGGTTTTCGGTTACATGTTGGCCGGATGGATTGGATTCGCCTGCTACTATGCCGAGACCACCATTCCTGCCTTTGGTTGGCGATTCCCGCTCGCCGTTCAGTGTCTGCCGGCCTTGATTCTGCTCATCGGTTCTCCTTGGCTCCCTAGATCGCCGCGTTGGCTCATTTCGAAAGGAAAAATGGACGAGGCAGAACATGTTCTGACGCAGCTTCGAGCCTCACCGGACGACCCGAACAACGAGGTGGCCAAGGAGGAGTTCTTTCAGACTAAGGAGCAAATTCGCCTCGAGGCTGACAAGCTTTCACAATGGGGTGGCAGTCCTTGGACTGCAGTCTTCAAGAAGCCTTCCTACCGTAGGCGTATGGTTATTGGCTTCTTGACTCAATGGGGAGCGGAATTCGGTGGACCATTGATTATCGTGAGTTTCGTGGCATTTCATTCGACTGTTCAGTCGCTAACTGGAGTAGAACAACTATGCTGTTCTCCTGTATACCAACCTTGGCATGACAGGATCAATGCCCCTGTTGCTGAGCGCCATTTGGCTAACCACTGCTGGTAAGATGATCCAGTACGCATTGGTCGAAGATGCAGCTGACAGATGCAGGTGTCATTTACAACCCTCTCGGAGCCTGGCTCCACGACAAGGTCAACTCTCGACGGGGCATGTACATCACTGGCTTTGTCGGTATTATAGTCACCACATCGTGCCTGGCTGCCATGACGGCTGAATACGCCGGCACAACCAACCGGGTTGGAAACGGATTCGGTATCTTCTTCATGTTCTTGTATTTAGCATTCCAAGGGTAAGAACAGCCGAGCCAACGACCGATACATGTACTGACTTGTCCAGAACTTTCTGTGACACGACCATGTACCTCTACGTTTCTGAGATCTTCCCGACTGAGATCCGGCCTATCGGAATGGGCTTCTCACTGTTCGGGCAGTTTGCTTGTAAGTACAGGCGCCAATCCGTACTGTACCCTGACTAACCACACCAGCTACCCTCATTCTGCTCCAGACTGCGCCTATGGGCTTTAACAATGTCGGCTGGAAGTACTACCTCGTGATCATTTGCTGGTCCGCCTTCTTCATTCCGGGTATGTTTTCCTCCTTGCCACCATATGACTAGCCACTAACACTCGCAGTCATCTATTTCTTTTTCCCCGAAACTGCCCGCCTGACTCTCGAAGAAATCGCCAAGAACTTCGGAGAAGAAGTGGCTGTCCACATTACCGATGCGACTGACGCCGAGAGGGCCGAGGTTGGTCGACAGGTCACCCAACAACCTCCGACTTCAGCCTCTGGAGAAAGCGATGAAGGCGCAGCGAAGACTGAGACGGAAGCGCCGAAGGTTGGATAAAGAGGTATCGGGGCGGTATTTACTCCCTAGGCTTATTAGCCAGAATCACTTACGCCGGAACCGTAATACCCTCGGGGCTGGTCATAATGTAATGGGAAGCCGTCGAGTTTCCACTTATTGTACCCAATTCATGGATCGCTGGTAAGCCGCTGCTCGTTATTGCTTTCGAGCCTGGTGTCGATTATCTGTGGGTGGTGTCGATTATATATTTGTAATGTCAGTCCGATATCCATTATAATTGCCAGAATGTGCCTAAATATGAATCACTCTTGATTCCGCTATATACATTTAGCCAATAAAGCCCGGAAGTATCACAGTGATGGGCTCAAGACGCTAATGCGTCCTATCTACAAATTTCATCACCTTGGTCCCAGTCCCGCTCTTCTCGAATCCCCCAATGTCGTCCACAAAGGTGATCTGGAAAAGATGTTCATTCTCCGGCAGAAGGTTGAAGAACAACCTGATTTTCTTAACAAGAGCCTCTTTGGACTGTAAGCCCTCCCTGTCAATTGCGCGAAGTATGCGGACTTCTAACGTCGTCTGTGGGGATGACTTTAGGGTATCGAGTATGACTTGCCATTGCAAAATGCCAGTTCCCTCGGCTTGCATCAAGGTCGCAACATTTTCGAACTCGAAGTAAACAGCAAACCATTTGAAGCTGAACCGGCGATCACGGCCGTGCAGGCGGAGGACGCGAAGATGCTCCCAATCTTCCTGAGCGATAATATCACGGGCACGCTCGGGCAGGGCATGCACGGAGCCAATATCACCCGTGTTATAGCGAACCACAGGATTGCGTAGTCGTTGTAAAGAGGTCTGGACAATGATGCCGGGCTCTCCATTTGGCACAGGTCTTGCGCTTAATGGTGAAGGTTCCTCCATGATTGATGAAGGAAAGATTTCAATAAGCATCGTCCGAGTGTCAAAGACAAAGTTCACTGTTGAAGTACATTCCTGTTGTCCAGTAAGGTCCGGACTTCCAATGGCATAGGGGCCGGACTCTGCGCTTCCGAGGATAGAGAATATTTTAATCGGCCCGAGAGTCTTGATTATGTGCTCTCTCTGAGCCTGAGTCAGAGGCTCTGATGTGTAAATTATCTTGGTTAGTTTGAGTCGTTGCCCTTGCTCTACCGGTAACATTGATATATGGTGGATCAATTGGATGATCTGGCTACCATCTCCAGTCAAAACGTTGACATGATAGTGGGCCAGATACTGGAAAACCTCGGCTGGGGTCATATAATTGCCACAGCTTAGAACAGTTGCCCCGGCATTCTCAAAAAGCTCAGTGGTGAGGTCGAGAGATCTAGACCCTGTTGGTTAGCTTGATCAAGGTGAATAAGGGTCAACAAATTAGCGGGCTTTCGTACCGGTACAAATAACCTGACGCATGGGTAGTAAGAACCCAATCGCCCGGGTCAACAAGTCGACAGGCCGCCATGAAATCGCCGAAAACTGATCTGTGTCTGCGGTTTTCTTTTACATCAGTGGCGAACATCAACGGTAACCCACCGGAACCGCCGCCGGTGATGCTTATGTAGGAATTGAGTCGGTAAACATTGCCTGGGCTTGTATCATGGGTCAGACGCTTAATGACCTTGTAACTAGAAATAAAATGTTAGTAAAAGAGAGACAACTGGCGAATGATAAACGTACAGATCCTTTTTTGTGACCATAGGTCGAGTATGAAGATTGACTTCTGTCGCAGTCTTTGTGGCGGATTCTCGGGCATGCTGAATTGCATCAGGCTGAGGAGGATACTGGACTTCTGAATTATAGAAAGGGTGAATGTCGGCTACTGCCAGGACCTCAGCTAAGCTATAGGATTCAGGGTGCATTGCGGGAGAGATACGTCTTGGAAAGGACTGTTCACAGTAAATGAATGCAAAAATATCTGTACGTGGTCAGATGTCCTTTTAATACCCATCACAGTAACATCGCAGAAAACACAAAGTGGAACATGCACGAGCAGCTACATCACATCTGACCAGTCTAGCTGGAAAATGCTCATTATCGTCAGGTACAAGCCGGGATCAACTGTTTAGCTCGACATATACTCGTATAGCTACATACCACTAGGAGGCGCGGAGTATTGAAAGGTTGACCGCCAATCCAGATTTTACAAGTATATTTCGCCAGGGTTCTTATCGACCAGAAGCCTAGAATAATACGAGACAGTAACAAAAATGGCCAATAGCAAACTCCTTCCGGACTATACAATTGAGGAACTCATCATCTACTGAATTCGTGAGCTGGAAGAGTCCGAAAATGATGCTGAACGAGACAGGCCTTTTTTCGTGGCGAAAATAGGTGAAGTAAGGCGGCAGCATCAGCGCTGAATGCGCTTCCTGCCCAATATCATTGCTTTTTACGACCGGCCCGCACTTTCCGAGCTGAGGTGGTATGGCTCAAGTGCTGGGAGCGTTGCGGAATAGCTGTGAAATGCAACCAAGATCGTTGTCTCCTCCGGCAAGACTGATCTTGAGAACGCCATGTTCTCGAAGATGATTGGACACACCTTGGACATGTCTCAGATGGCAAGAGTGGTTGAGACCGCGTGCTGCTAGATGTGGCACCAACTCCTCGCTTTTCTATGGTGAAATTTGTGTTCAGCTGCTGCAATGGAGAAAGGAATATGCATTCAGCTGTGACGCTATTGATTAGCTGCGGGAACCTCGCGCCACGTATTCGATCTGGCGTTTCGGCGATGCGCTGTTATGCAAGATGCGGTATAAAATGAAATGAAAGTGGAATGTATCAAATAGATCTAAATAAAAACAACCCGCAGCTTACAGAGTGTATTAAAGCCGAGGAAGTCTATTCATTCATCTTTGATGACAGTAGACGCCCATGCACCCCCATGGCTGCTGATGCAAATTCAGTCTGCGCTACTACGCCACACGCGTAGACTCAGGTACTCAACAGCAGTTGAGTGATATGTCCTGATGAGCAGATACTTCACTTTCTCTCCTAAACCTTTCAACACGACATCATAGGGCCACCATGCGTTGGTGATTGGTAATTTAATAGGTAGTGTAAAAGACACCAAGTTTTGTAAGAAATATATATTTTAGCATCGGGTGTTTACTGCTATGATAATTTGGCTGGAGTCCACACCCAGCAACAGCAGGGAATTGTCCTGCTAAACAAGCAGCGAGAAAGGAACCGAGAAGGAAAAACACAGAATCCAAGAATATATTTGTGCCAGCTGAAAGCCCCCAACAAGAGACCAGTCCAGTACCAGCCAGTCCAAGCTTGCCAGGGTTCACTTTCACTGTGATTAACTAAGACTGTGACGACTCATATATGACGGCTCAACACTGCAGCAATGAATGATACATCGCAAATGCTGCTACTCAGCCATGTCGCCAACAACCTGTATAAAGCCCCTTCATTACCTAGATAAATTTCCTCTTCTCTTTTCTTCTCCAGATTCGATATTCTCGTCGATGGTTGCAATAGTCTAGATAGGAACATTGATTCATTATTATCTACTATTCCGAGCCCGTGACAAAGACCAGCATCAATCACGACCGCGGAGCAGCTCAGCTCCTAACAGCCCCCAAACCCAGCGATATCTGGGGCCTAGCTTGACAAGAGGAGGACATTGAGATGAGGGGCACTAGCACCCCAGGGCAGTCAACAGCCCATTAATGCGACTACACCAGCATAATTGCCGCAAGACCTATGCAGTCACTGTTGCGGCTCTGGAGGCAGGGCTGGAGCTAGGGGTGGGACTAGCATGCTCTATGGAACACATTCTGGCACCAATCTTAGCAATGTTCTGTTTGGATTACTCCGAAAACATTAGATTGCTAGTCGAGTATTAGCAATCACGACTGATAATGCATCAAACAATCACATTTTGGTCAGCAGCATCCAGGAATCAGTGCAGTCACTGGAGCTAGATCATGATGCCATCATCATCTGCGTTCCATGCATTGCTCATGTCATTCAACTAAGTCTCCAGCAACTCCCTGGCCAAATAAAAGCAGAGCCCCAAAATGAGGTAACCAAGACAGAGTGGTCTGAAGTTTGTTCTCAATCTCTTCATATACAACCCCAGCAAAGCGAGATTGTGAACACCCTCAATAAGGTAAGGTCATAATCTTACATTGACCCAATTCAATAGTTCCATGGTTGCTAAATCCTACTCCAGGTTCAGAACCTAGCAGTCTTTGTTAATGCCAGTCCACAACGCCGGAAAGCATTCTGTAGTCTTCAGACTGGTTCAGCCAAGCTGCTTCCAATTCAAGATGTCTGAACTTGCTGGAACTCAGCTTTTCTGATGCTTCGGCGTGCTAAGCAACTGCAGTCGATACTTGATGGGGTTTGCACTCAATATGGGCATCCTCATTTAATGTTAGATTCAGAGGAATGGCAACAAATTGATTATCTTCTTTGGATCACACAACCCTTTTTCAAATTCACAACTACACTCTCGAAAATAAGAGTGTCACTCAGGGTGGGGTGGGGTGAGTTTTGGCAGGCAATTCCCCGCCCCAGCAAGCTTTGCGGCGGGGTGAGCCATGATGTTACCCGCCCTAAAGTCCCAAGACTACCTGTATTATACTCAATCTGTCAATCGGATATCGCACTACACCAATCATAGTTAGTTCAGGGCAGCTCATGGGGCGGGGCCCCCAGCCTGCCCCAAATTCTCGGTGTTTTCTGTATTTCCATACCAGTGTCAATCTTGATGATGAAAATTGAAGTAGGCATTGGCGTGTTGTCATTACCCCAGGTTTTTGATACTCTGGGTATGATACCTGGAGTGCTAGCATTATTGGCCATTTCTTCTATCACTACATGGTCTGCTTATATTGTCGGGTGCTTCAAATTGAACCACCCTGACATGTATACAATCGCAGATGTCGGTGCGCTGATGTTCGGCAGGGCAGGCTGAGAAATATTTTCTGTGGCATTCTGCCTCTGTAAAGACCTTGACCCCGACCAGTTCAGGGGGATCATGCTAACACTAAAGGCAGTTTGGATATTCATTGCCGGGTCAGGCATTCTAGGCCTCTCCATTGGACTGAATGCGGTTTCAATGCACGCCACTTGTACTGCTGCTTTCGTAGCTGTAGCCACAGTCATCGGATGGATATTTACAAGTGTTCAAACACTTGGAAAAATGAGCTGGGTTGCGTGGGCTGGGATGGGAAGTGTTCTTGGAGCAGGTGAGAAACTATCTCAGAATGCAACAGGCTTCTCAAACTGACAAGCAATGATGAGCAAAAGCTTTTACTCTTACAATTGCTGTTGGTGTACAGGGCAGACCGGCAAATGTTGCATTGTCGCAAGTTGACCCCACTACAGAATGGCAGCTTTGGGGTGATTGTTCCTTCGCGGAGGGCATGTCAGCTGTCTCTTCTATCATCTTTGCCTTCTGCGGGCCCCTGTCATATCTCCCTATCATCTTGGAAATGGCGGACGCAAATCTCTACCCCAAATCACTGGCTATCACTTGATCAATAACCACTGCTGTCTACCTCATCATCGCTATAGTGGTGTACTACTACTGCGGTTCTAATGTCGCATCACTGGTGTTGAGCTCGGCAGGGGCGCTAATGAAGCGTGTCTGTTATGGCTTAGCCCTACCAGGGCTCATTGTTTCTACAGTGCTTAATGCACACGTGAGTCCTCACAAAGATCTTCCCTGAAGAAAGAACCTGCTTATACCTTTCAGTTGACGTCAAAGTACATCTTCATTTGCAGACTGCAGGGAACAAAGCATTTAACAACAAACACTTGGACTCACTGGATCACCTGGCTGGGTTGCACATCCACTATCATTGTCATAGCCTACTGCATTGCAAGCGGAATCCCTGAGTTCAGCGCATTGGTATCTTTGATCAGTGCCGTCTTTGGTACATTTATGTCATTCCATCCTATGGGCTGCATGTGGCTATACGACAATTGGACAAAAGAACAAACAACCTGGTGGTATTTCATGGTGTCCTGGAGTTGCTTCGTGCTCGTGGCTGGCACCTTCTTAATGATATCAGGATCATATGGTTCGGTGGTAGCCCTGATTGATATTTTCAACGGTGATGATACATCGTCATCGGCATGGTCATGTGACGATAATTCGAACTCAGTATAAGGGAATTGCTAAGGTGGAGTGGAAGGTGATAGGAAGAACACTGGAATAGTGATTGTCAAGGGATCTGTGGATGGAGATAGATTATCGTACTCCAGCTTTCCTAACTGCCACATATTGTGACTTGGAAAGCCGCTGGATGATTCCCTGATGTATGGTAGGTCGGGTTGGACAGTTGGAGTGGTCTGCTGGGAATGGTCCACAGCAGTTGGTGCAGCATGGGTCTGAGCTCCCCTCATCTTCGGGAGAAGGATGGAACTCTTCAGTGTGGTCTCTCTTGCTGCAAATTCGGCACTTGGGTGTTCAAGTACAGGTTGTCACGGGCTCGGAATAGTAGATAATAACGAACTGAATTCCTATCTAGACTATTGTAGCCATCGACGAGAATATCGAATCTGGAGAAGAAAAGAGAAGAGGAAATCTATCTAGGTAATGAAGGGGTTTTATAGAGGTTGTTGCCGACATGGTTGAGTAGCAGCATTTGCGATGTATCATTCATTGCTGCAGTGTTGAGCCGTCATATATGAGCCGTCATATATGAACCGTCACACAGGTCCAGGGGTTATGATAGTCCCAGCATCATGTACATTGCTCTATACGAGCTCGGAGAGGTTTGTGTTTGATTTGTACATTTTTGCCAAAAAGATTGATCCATTTAGGGACAGCTCGGGCCTGATACTCGGGGACAGCCATAATGAGAGTACTAGACAGTGGGTTTTTATTCGAGAAGTAGAACTTCAAGGGGGATAGGTCTGACTGTAGCTTGAATCCATCCAAGGCCATCTGCTTGTTTATGGGCTCTTGAGTCCCATCAAAACTAGTATACTGTCGTGGCGTGTTTTGCAGGACAAAGATGGCCCATTTCTGTTCCATTTCCACTTTGGAACCTTGTAGTAGACACTCCAGGGTCTCCCTACGTTCCATGAGGAGCTGGAGACCCAAACCATCCTTAGGCCAAATAGCCAGGCCAGAGGGCACTTGTTGGACCTCTTTTACAGCTGCAGAACAGGTCTTGTCTAAGTGTTTTCTTAGTGTATCAATAGTGGTATAAGGGCTAGCTCGGCAGGCTACATGATCTTTGGGGAGGTGGAGGAAGATTCGGGGGGGCTTCTCCAGTTGTGGTGACTTGTGGGGAGTCTCATGTAGTTTTGGTTGAGTCTTGGGGATGCTAGCTGGGGCTTTTTTAGCAACTTCGGCATAGCCTCTGTGCGCAGAGGGAAAGAACTGGTGGTTCTCTTCCCCTTGGTGGTGCCCCCAGTAGCCAAGTTCTTGCTGAAATTGAGGACCAGGGTCCTAAAGTCTTTTCCCAAGGCTGCTGCACTCCTAAGGCCTTTTTCCTCCCAACTGGAGACTTTCTGACTGATCATAGACACAAGGTCTAGGACCTCATCTCCTGTAGTTTTTATCTCTGCTGTGCGGGATGCTACCGCTGCTGCAATGTGGCTTCGGAGCTCGAGGCCCAATTGACTCTGGGGGTTTCATGGGAGGGGGATGCTGGGGGCGTGTCCTGAACAGACTGGCCAGGTAATTGCCAGTTCCCGAGGGTAGGAGCAGGTTGTGTGGTCCCCTTTGGTGTTTCTGGTCTCAGTTGTTTGGGCGGTCGCTTCGAGGTGGTGGGCTCCTGGGGGGAAGCAGTCTGGGATTCGCGGGCGCCCGGGGCTTCCCCCATATTGATATCAGGCATAGGATTGGCAATTGCAATGCTTCTGTACTCGGTTGCTGGTGTGGAATTCGTGAGCAGGTACTCACGAATTTTTGGTGCTGCGTTGAGGGTTGGATGTTGCAGATTTGTCTACGGTCAGGTGGCCTCAACTGTATTCACCAGGTTCTGGGCAGGGTCACAGGGCTGTCCATGACATTCTACTCCATGCGCTGACAACACCAAACTGATATACATGCTACTTTCATATCCCTATTCAGCACCCTCCCAGCTCACAGCTCACAGTAGCAACCATGTTTCCTCATGTATCAGACCTTTGCGGCTTCTGACATCATGCAGGAGTAGTTCATATGACACGCCTCAAAGTGTCAAGCTTGATCATTAGGGTATGATAGTGACAACATGCCACTAAATTGATCAGCCCCTTCAATGGGATTTACCCACTTTAATCATCTATCAGTGTATATCTCCGCCTCGGGTTTCCGATCATTCAAAATTTGGATATCATCGAATATTCCTGCCCGGAGGATTGTAATCTCGTTAAAATCTCTGTCAGATTTTATCTTCTGTCCAAAAAGCGGCGTGCCTATCATTTTCGTCAGAGGCTGTTTTCCCAAATGCAGTCTTATGATACAGACCACAGTCAGGACAGAAAAAATTCCTAATATTATTTCCACTATCCGATGTTTTTGCCACTTCTTTCAGACTTCCAGAGATATCCAGTTCTGCACTTCGGACAACATAATTGTAGGTATAGAGTGCCCCAGTAAGCTTGCGACAATCAAGACAGTGGCACAGTCCCTAATGGAGGATAAGATTAGTTTAGTTTCACAAAAATTTTAATGCTGTGGGTTGTACTAGCCGACGCCAGAGGCTGGCCATTATATTTGATTCGAACCTTGCCGCAGAAACAGCCGCCGACAGCCATTCTCAGAGTAGTACTGACTCCAGAAATGTTTCACGAAGAGAACCTTAAGAAACCCATAAGTAGTTGGCTACATCCAGGTTGACTTGTGACTAAGCACCGATGGTTGGCCCCAACAATATTGTTGTTATCCCAACCATTATGATGATGACTCATTGGTCATCTACACCAAATTCCACTGCACTTCTGCCGAAATTTCAGAGCAGTGAGCCAACACAAATTAGCATATCTAGGATTTATTTTGCGGGAATGAAGTCCCAAGAGCGTGGAGGTATAACTGATTTCAAAATACAGTATTCAATAGACCTGGCCTGGCCCACGGGCCGCCCATTGGGCCGGCCCAAAAACCCGCCCATGGACGGGTTTGGACAAAAGTCTTCGGCCCATGGGCGGGCCGGGCATGCTTTGTCCAGACCCAATGGCTCATGGGCTGGCCCATTTGGCCCAAAATGGGGCAAAATCCAGCTCGCACGTGCCTTGCATAAGTTATCCCTCTTTTCTTGTAATTTTCACTGTATCAGCTTTACAAGAAGAAATCATACTGAATCAGTACGGAAGGTAACAGTTGTGACGACTCATATATGACGGCTCAACACTGCAGCAATGAATGATACATCGCAAATGCTGCTACTCAACCATGTCAGCAACAACCCCTATAAAACCCCTTCATTACCTAGATAGACTTCCTCTTCTCTTTTCTTCTCCAGATTCGATATTCTCGTTGATGGCTACAATAGTCTAGATAGGAATTCAGTTCGTTATTATCTACTATTCCGAGCCCGTGACAACAGTTATATTTGTATTTATATACAACATATTGCTTAATTTAAACCTCATAATCAGCAAGCCATCTTGATCGCTTTCGAACCCTTCCTGATATCCTCTGGGTTGACTGCTGAGGTAAATCAGGCTCATTATTTGATTTGGATGAATGTGAATCTTGGGATGAAACACTTATTTGCCTCTTTCTTCCCCGAGTCTGCTGTTGTGAAGGCTGTGTTGAGTTTGATGTAGGGTTCTGTTCCTCTGTATCACTAATTGGATCAA